ACAGGTCAAAGGTCATTTGGGTCAGGGTCATGAAATTTTCAGAGTAGGTGTAAAATTGATCAATGCGAGGGTACTGAAAGTTTCGTCGCGATCGGCCGCTTTTTACGCGAGTTATTCGCGAAAAACCATGGGGGGGGGGTCCATCCGACCCCCCCCCCCTACACATGCGAGGGTTAACGTTGTACCAGTCAGCTGGGAGTTAGTACTGTTATTAAAAGAAAAGAAAACTATCAGACGGCACCTGAATGGAGTGAAAATACTTCCTCGAACCAACACGTATTAAGAGGATTTATTGAAGCCTCCAAAGGCTCTTCCTGAATGAAAAGGCTTCAGCAAGCTGTACAGAAGGCGTGCTTATATTCTTTAGCCTCGAGAGGACGGATCCGCTTCTTTCAGCAGCGCCTAGCTTCAACCCATCGTTGGGGATTACTGCATGTATCATCGAATCCGTTCGGTGAAAGCCGCCTGTAATCCATACGCCCAGCGTCACGAGAGGGGATCAGTCGTGTTGGACGCAGGTGGCGTCAGAGGTTACATACCACAATTCCACCATGCAGTCCGCTGGTCTCGAGCGAAAAAGGAGGATCGGCAGCCCGGTGGACAGAAAAATAGCTGGTCCCGAAACGTAAACGGTCCCCCTGTCCCGAAGGCAGACGGTCAACTCGCCCCAGTGGACATTGGACCGAGACGGGCAGAAGGTCCACCAGCCCCGGAAGACAGACGATCTAGTTGGCGGCGCGGCAACTCTCGGCCCGGTTCAACTGCCAGCCGATTACCAGTTTCCGTCGGCCGCCGGCCCCCGGGGAGCACTGAGACGGTGCGCGGCCAATGTTCAGCGCGGCCCGCGCCCGGTGCCACTGCTTTGTCTCGCTGTCGGCCGGCTGCGGGCCGCCACCCGGGCCGGGGCAGCCAACTGAGACCAGGCTCGACCCGGTGACCAGCACAGTGGCAGCCAAACGCCGCTGACCGAGATCAATGGCCGAATTCTCCGACTCGACCAGCCGAATCCCAACGAGGGAGGTTAGCTAAGCAATAGCATGACATTTCCACAAACGATAGAGCAGACGTTATACCACATCGTAACACGCGAGCAATGCACCAATGAAAGTGCAAGAAGCTAATAAAAAGGTTAAAGAATTGAACGATGAACCGGCAATATTGCCGACAATCTCACTGCGCTGATTTGGTAAGCATAACCTGATACAAAGCATTCGACTACAAGTGCGCTGTCTTGCACCTGCGCAGACCAAAAGTATACCAAAAGATTCGATACATTCACCGTGGGCGTGTCCATCGTAGAGCCCAGCACAAGTAAAACGTCCGTCCCCTCCCGTGCCGCCGGCAGTCCGCCTGACCAGCCAGTGCAGCCAGTGACCCACGTGCCGCCGCACAGCGCTGTCAGCCGGTGCAGTATACCAGCGCAGGCGGCCCGCTCGCCGAGTCCGGTTGCGCCGCCGCGTTGTCGGCGACTCTGGGTGCGTTACCATGGCCGGGGGCAGACCCCGGCGACCATTGCTCATTCCCCATTACCCGGGTGGCACGTCGTCTGCGGACGCCATTCCTTCACAGCCGGCGGGAGCGCGGCAATGTCCGCGCCGATCGCCCGGGGTGCGGCAGCTCTCCCCCGGGACGGAGGCAAATCAGCAGCCGATATTGCCGCGGCCATGGCATGGAACACGGGTAAACTAAGGACCACACCGGAAGGGCGGCCGGCGGTGGGCAGGGTCTAAGACTTTCAAACCTATCGGGGTGGTGGTTAGGACCGCTGACGTCCACATAACACGTAACCGAGTAAAGGCACCGGGTTTTACGCATGGCTAGAGGGCAGGATATTGGTGTGTAAAGACGACAGAAGACCTGAGGCCAGTTTTACCAACAGAAAAATAGCCGCCTGCCGGAATTTTTTGCCTAAAGACCGCGGTCATTAGCCAAAAAAAATCCGATATGCGGCTATTTTTCTGTTGGTAAAACTGGCCTCTGATTCAGTTGGGTGTCACGAATACAGGTGCGATACTGGGAACATCAGCATTCAGCAGCACAGAAGGCCAGATGGCATCAGTGCGACGCGGACAGACCTCGGACCTCGTACGACGGAGACAGAGGGCGGATATTTGCACTGCCTCTCCCTGGGTCTCTAATCGATACCCACCGCTACCCATTGTACCAGGTAAATACGGCACTGACGGCCTCTGCGCACAATGGTCCTCCATTGTTCCCTGTCCGAGCGATCCCAGAACCAGCCCCAAACGCACACAAAACCGTCGCACAACTTCTGAACGGCGCAGGGCCTACATCAGTCAGTACTCAGTACACTGGCCGATATCAGGCCGGTTCCAGTTCGGGTTGCGGGCGGGGCAAATGTCATCGGTAATCACGATCTAGTAGTTGCAAAAGTATGACCTGATCTTTGAGAAAATGAGCAAGCGAGTGCACGAGAAGTAAACTAGACCGAGATGCTGCAGGAGAGAGAGAGAGAGAGAGAGAGAGAGAGAGAGAGAGAGAGAGAGAGAGAGAGAGAGAGAGAGAGAGAGAGAGAGAGAGAGAGAGAGAGAGAGAGAGAGAGAGAGAGAGAGAGAGAGAGAGACAGAGACAGAGACAGAGACAGAGACAGAGAGAGAAAAAAGGAGGGAAGGAGAGAAGGCAGAGTGCTGCAGTTCTGACCCGGGAAGACGGATAAAGATCGAAGTAAATTATATAATGGAGGTTTCAAATTACCTCTTGGAAATAGTAATCCAATACCACTAAAATCACATCAGCAGCTAACGCGCTAAGCCTTTGTGCGCGTCCGACCACGATTCGGCCCACATTAGGCAGAAGGCAACCGGCAGCCGGCAGCGCGCTGGCTGCCCGATTAACGCCCAGCCCCCGCAATCCCCGATATATAGATATCGCGATTCTGTCTGCCGCTGGCGCCGAGAGCGGCCCGGAACGACTCATCCGGATTCGGCGCCCGCGCCGATCGCACGGCAATAAGGGCGGTCGGACGAGCGGGAGGCACGGCCAACGGGCCGTCAGCACACAGTAGACACAGACAGAGCCAGCGGGATGGGACGCCGGCACACATAGACGGGAGCCTGGTGAGACGCACTGTTAGCACATATTGGAGAGCCGTGGGACGGGCAGCTAAGACAGACAGAGCCGGCAGAGAGGGCCACCAGCACACATAGACGGAGACGGCGGGTCAACACACAAGGGAGAGCCGACGGGATGGGCCGTCAGCACACATGGACACTGGACAGAACAGTCAGCAGAGACAGACGAGAGCCGGTAGAACAGACCGCCAGACGGACGGTGCTCGAAACCAGATGGAAGGACCGTCAGTTATACATACAGTCAGACGGAGGCAGAAGACGGACCGGGAGAGGATCATTCCAAACACGACAAACCAAACACAGGAAAGGCCGAGGAATCCATCTGAAAAATGCCTGACTCCTGGTTCTCATTCAAACAAGCGACTGATATCCACTGAGGCGAACTATGTTGTCCAAACTCATCGAATCTGCCCAAACTCCGAACTATAAACTGGGAGATACAGGGCATGCTGCTACAGACCACCAATTAAACCTTTCTGTTGCAATTAGGAAACTTCATTTGTTAATTCCACTTTGAAAGCAGCCTAAAATACGAAAGAGTCCAGATTTATTATGCAAACTCTCAGCGAAAGAATTTGGTTAATTCATGAGGGCTTGGGATTCGCATCTAATTGGAAAAGATCCGCAGCATTTTATCGCAGACTACACCACAGGGAGCCGGCGCAACCCACACGAGCCTGGTGCAGCCTAGATGTACGGCCCGCTGAGGACGCATCAGACAGCATTGTAAGACCACACCAAATGGGCACGAGAAAACCATTTCGGGGTAAGGACAGAAGCCCACCCAGCGGGACCGCCTGCCGTCCTGTCCCCGCCGGACCGCACGTGCCACGAGGCAGGCAGCGGCTGCGCCCCCGTGCCGAGCAGCAGGTGTTGTGTACTGAGTGGCGGTCCAGACCGCTCCCCAGCCGATCATAAACTGGCGGTCGACGCCACCGACTGCGCACGGCAGACCCGTCGGACGGTGCACCATCCCGTCCCTCACTGTCAGTCCCCACTCGGAGTGAACGGCCACATCACGAGCCGCGGAGCTGCCGAGAATGGCAGTGCCGGTCGGTGGCGCGCGGGCGGGGTGGGAGGCCACCCAGAGCGCGCCGGCGGACCAGACAGCGCGACTCCTCTCCCCGAGTCGGCGCCTCTCGCCCAGGCGAGGAGCGCTCTACCATGGCCGGCCCACCGGTCGCCGCCGCTGGAAGTTATGGTGCGCCAAAGCGAGGCCGACAGCCGTGGCAGGGGGCAGCCGGCCGCAACGGACAGCCAGTCGGGGTCCCACGACATTTCACGGAAGCGCCAGCCGGCCGCCGCAGAGGGAAATAAACTAGCTGCATGGCTCCCTGTTATAAGGGCGCATAGCCAGTAGAAATGAGCATTAATTTTAGAAACTTACCAGGAAGAAAGAAATGTATCTACTATCTAGGAATAAACATAACGGTACAGGAGTGCAGAGGAGGGCTCGATGGTGGAGGGACTAAAAAATGAGTGAAACAACAGTTCGGAACAATGGGGCACTTGATACGGCTCCTCGTAAGCATCCATATACACGACGCCTTCAGACTTGAGTTGGCTGACTTAGATTGGGAGCTAACCACTCCCGCCATCTGATACAGGAAAACGGTACGCGCCCGTCGCTGCCGTACGCCGGCCGTCTCGGCTTTCACTGGCCCGGTAGGCTGTGCCGCAGTACAGCTGAGCTCGGCGGCACAGTGGAACACTCGCCGCGGCATCACACACAGCACGGGACGGACGGCACGGGACGACAGAGAAAACAGAGCAGACAGTGTGCTGTTCTGGAGGGCGGGCGGATGGGTAGATATCAAGCTCTACTCCTTCGCAGGAAGTTGGCCAGTTTGCTATCCTGTAAAAGTTTCGGTAGAAACAAAGAATCGCTCAAAACAGCGAGCGGCTCACCTTGTGTTTGGAGACGACCCGCTCGACGTCGGCGGCGTCGCCGATGATCACCGGTTTGTCGCACATCCGTGTAATGAGCGTCAGCCAGTCCTTAATCTGGGGGAGAGGGTGGGGCGGTGGCAAGGTTAGTGTCTGCCGACAGACTAGCCAGGTTGCGAGGCGCTGCGAGGGGTCAGGACAGCCGTTTAAGAGATCCATGACCAAGGCGATGGGACCACGGATAATGCAAGGTAAGACTGTCACTAAATTGACCAATGACCACTTCATCATAAATAATTAATATTGCCAGAGTGCAGCATTAGTTCCACGCCATATCGTATGGCCGCCCTGAGCCCTCTCCCACCCCACCGGCCGGCCCATGCTGACACCATCGGTCGGCCTTAGTGCCGGGAGGTGGCAGCACGACCGACACTGTTTCAGTGCATTGACGCTACCTGACGCTACCGGTATCGGCGCTATAAAACGTAAGCAAAAAATTGCAATTGTGCTTATTTCCATGAAAACGAGCGTCAATGCCGGTAGCGTCAGGTAGCGCCAATGCGCTGAAACAGAGTCCCGAATTCCATCCGAGCCCGGCACCCTGGCGCAGACGCTTCTCTTCCACTCAACCTCAGGTCACCAGAGGAGGGCGCTGAGGTTGGCAGATTCAACTGACACAGAACAGACACGATAAGATCGCCCTCCCACTCTCCGCTGGCTCTCACCTGGCTGATGCTCTTGTCGAGACTGGTGACCAGCGCTGCCGGCGCCACGGCGCGGTGTTTGGTCAGCGGCGACGGGAAGCTGGGGGGCTGGGAGCCCGCGCGGGACCCGTCCGGGGAGGTAGGCGACGGCGACGGGTCGGCGGACGGTGAATGTGCCGCGGAGCCCACTGAAACACGGGCCAACTCAGTCAGAGAGAGGGCGTCAGACGACGGTCAGCGGTCAGAGACGATGGGCGGCAAATGTGAGCATGGGTCACCGGTATGAGGGGTGACTGACAAATAACGGTCGACGGTCAGAGAGACGATGTCTACAGAGGCCACATCGGTCAGAGAGACGAAATTGAGGCATGGGTCACCAGTCAGAGATGTGATTGAGGCGGGGATCACTGTTTACAGGGGCGATTCGGAGACACGGTCACAGAGACGACAGTGCAAGACGGGTCATTGGTCAGAGATGACAGTGAGGTGCGGGTCACAGACTCACGAGTAAATGTATGACAATAAAGACCAGACAGTCAGTGAAGACTTAAGCCCTGAAATACGTCGTCGGTCAGTTTCGTAACCCGTGAGTTTCACGGACAGGGATCGGCGATCGTTCAGCACTAAATGGTAGTCACGTAAGGCTATCAATGATCCTTGTTAGCGCACACAGTTCATGCAATCGTAGTGGACGCGGATACAGTGGATGCAGTGGACCAGCAAAGTGGATGATAATCAGAATGACACGAGTTTGGAAAAGTACTCGTATGTACGCGCCGCAGCTTTGTAGAACCACTTCTAAAGCCATTTGTGTGCTAAAAATACTAAGCAAGGAGCAAATGAATGCCAACGAATGGATCTTGGGCTGCAGCTTCCAAAAGTCAAGTCATTCTGAGATAATTAATGTGTTTTACAGACTGAGAACGAGAACAAAGCAATTTCCTTTTCTCATACGTAATATGGTCAAATGATATAACGAACCGTCAAACGAACGTTGGAAAGACACATCAGGAGCCTGGCGTCACATAACAGAAACGCACCCCATCACAAGAGCGTCATTTGAATAGAACGAAGTGGTGCACTGGACGACATTAGTAAGACAATAGACATTTCAACATAACTTGCGTCCTAGCGGCGCTTGGAGCGGTTGATAGACTAGTTGGACCGTCAGCCGCCGGCGACGATCCAATGGTGTTTCCATCAGTACAACCGGCGCCGGCCGTGCCAATGACGTCATCGCCCTTCCGCTCGGAGTCCAATAAGCCCGGCAATGATCACCGCCCGTATCGGGGGCAGGCAAATCTCCGAATTATTGGCCAGTTGATCCCGACTGCCTGTGCTGGGAGCAGAGGTGTCGGCCGGTAGCACAGGAACTGATAACCACCCAGCAGCAGCCGGGGGGTAACGGCGGCGCCATGTCACACTGTCACAGAGCGGGTCGATGGCAGGAGAATCCGCTAACGGTAACATGACCCGACCCGATCTCACGCATTGGCTCATGGCAGATTGTCAGGCGGAAATAGACTAGCAACCATCATCGTTCCCACACAAAGCACAACCGTTCCTCGAAGAGATATTGACATTGTCCCTGGGGCTACATCCTGCATAAGGACTGGAAAGACTCATCAGCTCACGGTAGTGACTCAAGCGAGACCCTAGTCCAACTCCTCTTCACCGTGTCCTCATTGGGCCACTCCGTCCAGCCTCCACCACACTGTCTCCACGATGTTCTACACCCCTTCCCCGCCGTACCCCCCCCCCCCCACACCACCACCACCACCGGGCTGCCTCCGCCGCCGCCGCCGGCCGTGTCGGAGCCGGTGAACGGGGCCGACGCCGGCGTCAGAGCAGGGATCGCGCCACGTCGCACGCCGCAAAGCCGATTACGACTGATTGGTAGCGTCAGCTCTCCTCCCCGCCCCAGTGGCTGACGCCGGCGGCCCGCCAGGAGCGAGAAGGGCCCACTCTGCGGGCGGCGGTCAGGCGGCAGCGTGAGGCACGCAGCTCAGAACACTCGTGTTTTCGCGGCGACAACACGGTGTGGCCGAGGGGAGACGAGTGGGGCCCTCACGTCACGAGGGAGGAGGTGAGGGGAGGTGAGACGGAAGCCAGTGGGGCTTCACTCAGCCCCAGAGCGCCAGCTCAGCGGACTGTCCGTGCTGTTGCTCTCACTGGCTCCGCTTCACGGACCCAGGGTGACCGACTGACCGTCCCACAGCGGTAGGGCGGAATGAAGGAGCATCGACCGTGTCACGAACCGTGTGTTTTACGATCGACCCCGAGGACCGCCGCGCTGGTGTGTGAGGTGGCGGTCACGACACCCATGTACGGTAGGTGCCGGGCAGCACCGGCATTGCACTGGCCCGCTGCCAGTCCAGGAGCCCTCCCCCTCCCTCCTCCGGGACAGGTGCTAACACTCCGTGCACGCCCGCCAATGAACCCAGCTGGGGTCTGTAAATGGACACTGAAACACCGCACCTGGAACAAAGATCTGTGTTATCTCAAACAATGATCCCAGACATATCAAAGCGATTCTAGCATGCCGACCAGAAAGTTAATCCGGCGACAACGGTGCATTTCCGGCTTGATATTGCGAAAAGCTTTAGCCCAATATTTACGTTCCGAACGGTACAGAACCAATATCAACGAGTGGATAATTCGACCAGCTTTGATCTCTGCACAGCAAAACAAGCAATTGTTATATTTATAGCTATGCTTTAAAAATAGCAAGTACCGCGACAACAGAGGCATAAGAATTATAATAAGCTCTGGCGTGGTTGCAATAGGAAATGCTATAGATACCTACATAAATTTGGTACCAAAATGAGTCTTGAGAAAATTGCAGGACCAGTACCAATGAATCATACACCAAGCATGATTTACAATTCATGGGAAAAGTGTGACTTAGTAAAATGACGGTTCTATTTAGTCTGTTAGTAGCAAGCATTCTGGACGACAAAATTAGCAAAATGCACGGCTGATCAGACTTTAAAGCGCGCTTTAAAAGTCCGTGACTGAGCTGAGCCGAAGTTCAGGCGGGTGAGCACGGTGAGTTAAGGTCAGGACACGGTTAGCCAGCGCTGCAGGCCGCGCCTGTCCCGCTGGTCGCACCCGGGCTGGACGGCCCGCCCTGGCCGCCGGCCGGTGAGTCGGTGTGTCGGTGGTGTCTCCTCGCGGCGTGGTTGCGCCGCGGGCTCCTGCCGGCGCCGTGGCTGCTGACGGAGCAGGCGGAGCCGCGCCGCACACTGGGCCGGGGGCCCGGAAAAGTGCTAGAAATTATCTGTGATTGAGTTGTTGATCTCAGTGACAAGCAAACATGCTAAAAACGAAGTGGGGCTGCTTAATCCTCGCCGGACCTATTGTCGGACCCCCCACCCCCTCGGCCGGCCGAGGGGGGGGAGGGTTGGTACGACCCCTTTTCGCCGTTTCGCCCCTAATGAAGCTAGAGCCTCGCGGAAAAAACAAGCGTGTGCCCCGTTTCAAGACGGAACGATTGATACCCGATTTTAAGGTCCCAGGTCAACCGGTAAACTCTGAGGTGAAGTCAAAAAAGCCCAAGGTAGGGTTTAGTTTTTGGTAAATAATTTCGCAAAAAATGGCCGCAGAGCAGCGATTTTGGCACCATCGTGTTCGCCTGGCTCAGGCGCGTCGAATGGTATACTTTTTGTCCGGGTGAGGTCAACTTAAGGTGTTGACCTCGAGTCAAGGTCAGGTCAGAGCCCATCAGGCCACGAACTTAATCGAAGGAAGTCGTATTGCATATCATTCGATTCGGGAGATCTTTCCGAGTCCATTGGTGGCTTTCCCGAGTCGCTGGCTCAATTTGATCATGAGTTATTGACGAGAAACTCCTATGACCGCAGTGACGTCATAAATGACGTCACGGAAGGTCAAAAATGCAAAAGTAAAGCATCGAATCTTGCAAGGAGTGCATGAAATCACGATTCCGTGTGCTTGAGATAGTTTGAGATCATTCCATGCGCAAAAAGAACAGTTTTCTTATTTCCCCATTTACTTTTAATGGTGAGGTCACGTGACCTCGAAGAGTAGCAGGCATTAGCAAAAATTGCGAGTAGGGCATGACAGAAAGATGATTAGTGGTTTGTATGGCATGGTCATTTTTAGCGGCTCGAAATAACATTTCTCAAAAAGTCTGACTAAAGAGCAAGTTGTTGTTGATTATCACTGACTTGTGTTTGGGGGTTAATAATGACTGAATTTTTTAGTTTGGCCCAAAATTTTTGACAGCATTGTGTGCATTGATCAATTCTGAGCTCAGGGACATATATTTTATTCTGATTATACGCTTTTGTTTTTCATAACTTCCAGCGCTTTAAAGAGCGCCGGGCCTTCAGTAGAGCGGCGAGGTGACAATTGCCCCTACATCATGTGGTTTACTGGCGCATATCTCGAAAAGTAGCAGGGAAAAGCAGCAAAGCACCTATATGGAACGAAAGATGAGTAATCAGAGGCTAGTATAAAATGTTCATTTTTAGCTGCTCGAAATCACATTTTTATAAAAGTCTAATTAAAAAATTAGATATGATTTTTAATTACGTCTTGCAGCTGCTTGCAAAAAGCTAGCTTATCTTGCAGAAAAGCGATGCAATATGTAAGAATAATGTTGGCACAGTGAACAACAGTGCCCTGAACTAGTCTGACAGGAAATTTCGTTCAAAACAACGATTGGTCAGGTAATAAATTACCACTAAAGATCATCATGAAAATGGGTAAATGTGGTGGCCACTAGAGAGTCTAAATTGTCTTGGGTTTGGTGACAACTGACGACCTCAATTTTGACCTTAGGGAAAAACTGGCATCGGAATCGTATTCTTCGATCAATTTGGGGTTAAATGATACCTATTTTGTTCATATTGCGGACAGTCAGTTTGGGGGAATTTCTAGCGCTTTTTCGGGCTGCCGGCCTACAGTGCGCCGGCCGCCCGGATCCGGCGGCGCCAGACAGTGCGAGCCGCGCCGGCCGCGCCGCGCCGACTCGGGACACAGGCGGCTGCCGTAGGAGGCAGCGGGCGCGTCCTCCGGGCCGTCATCGTCGTCCGCGCCGCCGCCGTACCCGATGTCGATGTAACACGGCTGGACGGAGCGGCGCCGCGGTCGCTGCTCGGGGGTGGGCTCCGGCGCGCCGCCCGCCACCGACCGCCGGCCGCGCTCCCTCCCCTTCTTCACCACCTTGTAGAACAGGAACATGTCGCCTACCCCACTGAGGCAGGACACGCCTCACTCGTCCCCGGGGGCGGCGCCCGGCGGACACCCGCTGGCCGCGCCGGCTCGGACCGCCAGTCCCAACTCCACCGATAGATCGCCACCTGCTACCGTCTCCAGGGGCTGTCCGTCCGGCCTGGCCCCACACAGGGCACGGCACGGCGCTTACTCTCGGCGGGTCGGCACAGGCCGTCACTGGCGCCGGTCGGGCCCGATCTCCTCAGACAACCGCCGCCAGCTGCCGCTCTCCATCAGACCGTCGGCCGCGCTGGCAAACACCGAGTCACGCCCCACTTACACGCCAGCGCCGCCACGGCAGACGGCACCGTGCGGCGCACTAAGCACCGCTGGAAAATCTCACCACGCACTGCACAGCTCCGTCAGCGCCCTTCGAAAACCACAGTGCGCCGTTCGAAAACTGAAGGGTTCTCTCAGCACCATCCGCAGGCAACACGGCACCCTTAGCACTGTCGGCAAACGACACTGCAAAGCTCCTCCCGAAATATCACGGCGGAAAATTTCACTTCATAACTCCTTCAGTACCGATGGAAAATCACCCTCAGCACCGTCGGTAGACCACACGAGTCTGTCGGCACCGCATGCCTCGCCACTCCCTCAGAGCACCGCGGGCAACCCAATCATCTCACTCAGCATCTCTGGCACACCGCGCCGCTCAGCTCCGTCACCACGGCTCCAGTCGTGCGCCGGTCCAGTCGGCTACTGAGCACGGGGTTTTTCACCGCCACCACCAGCCTGCGCCTCCTTCTCCGGCGGCGGCTTCGCGCACAGTGATCGCCGTCGCTGCCGGCCGCGTTTAGCTTGGCAGCCGGGGGCGGAGAGGTCCGCCGCACCGGCACTGGAAAGGCCGAGTCACCTGGACACTGCCGTCCGCCCACCGGGCCTTATGGGAATACGGCTGCCCACGAGCCGAGCAGGCAGAGCTCTACCTCTGCAGAGGCCTGGTGTGGGAGGGTTGCTACGACCGACGCTGTCAATCAGGGCTCGAACAGAACATGGACTGGCTGAGAGATTGGTGTGGCCTAGAGCGACTTCCCCGGTGGTCGCCGTGTGCACTGAATAGATGGCCCGGCCTCAGACGAACTGACCACCGCCTGCGATTAGCGAAAGTAAACAAACATTTGCCAAATAAACAGCGGCCTTGAGTGAGTCGTGTCGCACGCGCTGCCAACTCGGGCCGGAAGAGGGACGGCGCCGGCTGCGGCGTCTCCTCGGCGGCCGAGACGTGTCGGCGGCCGTCGGCTGGCACTCGCTACGGGTCGTCATAATGGGGGGCACCTGCTGCTCGGGGTATGACAGGCCAGGGCTCAAAAAAGCTGTTTGGTGGTCGCCGACCAAAAGTTTTATTCAGATTGTGGTCGCAGCACCGGCTGCCCAGTAGGTACTCTGCCCATAGCTCTTTGGTTGTCGCACAGGCAATGGAACGTTTTTTAAACCAATTAACTTCTAATGCTGCTATTCCCAGCACCGTAGCACGTATCAAGCGCCACCAATGTACACGAATCTGCAATTACAACATGAATTAAAAGCAGTGGTTTGATCGCTAACGCTGCGTTCGGACAGCCCGGTTTCCACGTGGAGTTTCTAGGCCGATGAGCTCCTCACGGAAACGATCGCCTTTCGGCCGCTTAGCCATAGTGTTTCGCGCTGACTGAACGCGTTTGCGTGAGGAATTCCTCGGCGTGGAAGTTCCACGCAGTAACCGGGCTGTCCGAACGCAGCTTAAATACACCATAACAAACGAGAGTGAAATTTTGTGCCCGAATCCCTACTCCTCCCCTGGCTGACCCGACGGACGCCACCCCTCCCCCTCGGCGTCCCTTCCCCCACGGTGGCAGTCAGCTGGCGGCCGGCCGGCCGGGCCGGCGCGGTGGGTGAGCGTCCCGTCCCGTAATACGCCACGCCGCGTACCTACTGCGTAGTAGGAGACCATCTGGGCGACCAATGAACGGCGCTCGTCGGCGATTTTGACAACCGCTCTTCCCCATTGGTTTAACACGGGTGGTCGCACAGAAAACGCCGACGAGCGCCGATGGGGAAACGTGGTAGTATTCCCGTGTACGGAAGGTGGTAGTTTATCCTACAACAGTGGTATGTTTGCTCACCGTCCAGTGTCCAGGTTGTACCGTGGAAGTAACCATGGTGACCAATGACTTAATGATGCGCATAAGTGATGCTGAAGTTATGGCAATATTCTTAACAATATTTATATAGTTTTTAAAGATATTCTTCGAAAATTTGTTTGATATTTCGCGTTTTTGGTCGCACCACTGGGAAATGTTAGGTATAGCATTCGTGGTCGCCGACCTCATCGGCAGGACGGAGCTTTTTTTGAGCCCTGTGACAGGCCGAGAGGTGGCAGACAGGCGGACGGCCAGTAACGGCCAGCTGTCGCCACAGCCCTGAGGACAGAGTAGGCGGACCGAGGGTGGCGGACGGATATACGACCAGTAGCAGTCACCATGGTAAAACAGACACTCCGGAAGCTTGGACAAAGTTGACAAAGTAGTAGACGGACAAAGTTACGGTTGCCAGTCGCTCCATGCTCTATAAAAAACTGAGGGTGGAAGAGTAGCAGCTGCGGTCGCTCGGCGCCAGGGATCCTCACCACCCCCATAAAGACGGCGTTATCGTCTCATAAAACCCCCGCCGATGGGATAGAAATAACGACGTCGGCGCCGCGAAACACCGTCGGGCACGAATCGACCCAGGTACTTTGATGATGATCCCATCAATTAGTGTTCTTCGTGTAGCTGACCCAACCACGCCATCGCCCACCGGCTGTTTGTGAACTATTCAGTCTGAAAATAGCTACTGCTATGTTTATCTGCACAGCAAACAACACACAGACGGGTGTAACTGCTAACAAGGTTAGCTTCTTCTAACAGATTATTGTCGGCTGGACAGACCGACAGACGGACAGAAGGACGGACGGGAACCACCCGAGTCGGTTGGTCCTTTCGTCATGCTGACGAGCGGGCTCGCCGGCTGTTAGTGTCACTCGGAACTCTCGTTAGCATCACTCGTCGCCGTCGCACGTGGCACGTGGCGGCGGCACTCACGTGGCCCGGTGCGCAGCAGTTTGGACACGTATGAGCGCGGCTCCACGTGCACGATGGCAGCAGTGACGCGTTTGAGCGCTGCCGCCGCAGCAGCGGGACGGTCAGAGGGACGGCCGCGGCACACAGTGCAGCGTCCAGTCATGGGAGCGCGGCTCCGTATGGTACAATTGGTACAAAATACAGTATGGTACAAGATATAGCAAGAGGCAGGGAACGAGTATAAAACAGTAGGCATCGATAGAAGGGGGCACAAACCGTATGGCACAGAATAAAGCGGGTGGCCGGGATTGAGGACAGAACACATATGGTACAGAACACAGCTCATGGGAGGAACACAATAGCAGACACCCCGCAGACTATACAGCGGGCGGCCCGTCTCTTGTGGTACAGAGCACAGCGGGTAGCGACGACAGACACACAAACAATGTCAGTCAGTCGCAGCCGGCTGACGCCATCTCCAAGGTCGCGCTCTTCAGAAAGGAGAGGAAAGGAGGCAGCTGCGGTGGTGACAGCTCGGAGAGGTGCCATGGCGACCCGCAACTCTCAGGGACGGAGGGAGGGCCCGCATTAACTCTGAGCCGACCTTCACTCACATACTCCGCCTCCCTGACAGGCTCACAAAAACACCGTTCAATCCCCGCGGCCAACCCAAACACTGGCACACACTGATCAATGGCCTGATAACAGGCCGTTCAATTAGCTGTCCGCTAAACATTCACAGAGAACGTGACCAGCCGAACGCCCATATAAAACATGACGCATCGCCCCACAAAGGAATACCGATTCCGTACTGTGCAGTACTGGGCTTTAGCAGCGCCTAAATTGGAAGCCGACAGGGCAGTTTGCACAGACGGTGTAAGACTCTGGGGAAAGTTCACCCAGCAGCCCCGGGGATAGTTCAGTCAGTAGCCCAAGGGAGAATTCAGCTCACCGCCCCGCGCCGTGGACCCAGCAGACCGCGTGTGTAATCTGTCCTAGCTGACGGAAACCCGGGCAGCGTGGGTCCACCAAGGTCCGTGACGCAGGACGCGGCACTACTGCAGCTGCAGGGTTATCGCAGTAGCGCCGCACTACATGCCGCCACAGTGCGCATTGCACATGGCCAGATCAGCCAAGGCGTTACGCTCAGCCAAAGCGACCGCTAATGGCTACACATGAATGATACGAGTAACGCATGTACTATGTCGGGGCCCAAATGAGCACATCATACGACGAATAACGGTACGTGCTATGGCGACTTAGCGCTAACATCAACAAATCAGCATACCTGCCCTGTAAACAGTGACCCCGTTTCCATGGGCATCACATCAATAAGGACGTGTATTAATGCTATAGTTAGCTACCAATTACCATGGTAACCACTTACCTATGACAATGGACAAATATTCCCCGATGTCACTATTGGGCTTCCTAGCATCGCGGCCTTCCATGCTGCCGCCGCTAGCCTGTCGTGTCGGCGGCCGGTGCTGGGTGGATCATTAATCATATCCCATTCTCACCTAGACAGCACGTGCCTGTGTGCCAACTGGGGCGGCTACGGGGCCCGGCGGCTCGTCTGGACCACACACGATAGCTCAGTGGACCGGATGGACCATGTTAACGCATAGTAACGCCATGGACCAACTAGAGTCTGGACCACACACAGTCGGTCCATGGACCAGCCGAACCAACATAGTGTGGCTGGTCCACAGACAGTGGACTTATGAGTCACTCAGTACGGCTTACAATAGGTCACGACAGGCGCAGCGCTCGTCCATCCTATAGAGCCACCCTGGGCTGACCAGGTAGCTCGTAACCCGCGGACGTGCGCTCTGCCCCCTCCCCTGACCCGGGCCACTACGAGTTATGGTCTCCAACGTGCTGGATCGGCCCGCCGAGTACCACGGCCGCGGTGTGGTTACTGATGATCGCGGAGACGGGTCGGATGGAACGGCCGATACTCGCAACAGTCAGAGAGTTGAGAGGACACGACACGGGACTGGTCACTCACCCGCCCTGATTGATGTCGGGTGAAACAGAGTGGATTCGATACAAGGCTGGTCACTTACCATTCTTGACTGACACCTGGTCATTGAAAGGACACAACTCAGGTGCTGTTATTCACTGTTCTTGAATGACTCCTGACTGAGCAGAGGGACACGCCCGGGTTAGACCACTCACCGTTTTTGATGGACGTCCGGTCGACGCGTCGGACCGGGGCGGCGGCGGCCGGCGAGGCGGGGGAGGTGGGGACGGCCGACGGCGTCACCGTCACTTGGCGGCCCTCAGATACCTCCTGCAGCTGACGCCACGACGCCTGCACGCCGTCCACGCGGCTCTGGAAATAGGGGGAGGCGAGTTTAGTGAGGGAATATGGGAGCTGGCCAGTCAGTGAGGGAAACAATCGGCCAGATACAGTGCTTCATCTCATGAGACGAGCTCAGCCAAAGACACAGTGCTCCATCTCGACATGAGACGAGCTCAGCCAAAGACACAGTGTTCCATCTCATGAGACGAGCTGAGAAAAAGGCACAGTGCTCCATCTCATGAGACGAGCTCAGCCAGTCAGTACGCACCCAACCCAATACCCATCCTGGCATCGCTCTAAATCATCCAATGGCCTAATCCCACGGCCATTTCAATCAGCGGCCGGCACTGTCCCGCCACGGAGCACGGCCCCAGTGACCACTGCCGTCCGCAGTCTGGACTGTAAAATCCGCCACATAATCGGATTACAGCGGCCCCGTTATCCTCTATCAGTGTGTGGTTTAGCAAACCACTGATACAGAGCTCGACATTTTACAAGTTCCCGATGATTGAAAATAAATCAGAAAACACGGCGGAGCGTGTTTAGCAGGCTGACTGATACCGCTCCACGATTTACGAGCTTCTGCACTTTACTTTGGCACCGAGTGAATGTTGGGGACATCAGTCACCCCCGAATGGTGCTTTCTGACTGGGATTGGCCATTATCCCGTGCCACCGAGAAGGCAGCTTTCAGCGCCGTGCGGCGACCACAACATAAACATACCCCTACGGTGGTCGACCGAATGGGCACGGCTCGGGGACGGGTGGCGGAACAGTTCAGCTCGGTAATATCTGACCGCACAGCTCAGGGCAAGCCTGACGGGGCCGATACTACACAGGGCCTCTGAAGGGCGGTACATTTCAGGGCCAGTTTGAAAAAAAAACCAAGGCGGTTTCCGAAACGAATATTTCGGCACGGCAGCCGCGTCAGCCACCGACTCCAAGCGCTTCTATAACGGAGACATTCATAAATATGTATGCCATACGAATCAACACCGTCACAATACCCCTACGGTGTTTTCGTCTGTCGCACTAGGCATTTACCGCTGCACCCGAACGGTAAATAGGTAGTCTCTGCCTCTTCATGTTTATGTTCTCCCCGTATCTGAGCTGGACGTTCTATCTATGGACCCCTGTCCCTCTGGTCCTGAGCCCATTGTCTCTGTATCTGTCCCTGTATCTGTCTTTAGAATTCCCCTATCTCTCTGACCCTCTGTCCCCGTGTCCTACCTGGACGTCCTGGGCCACGGGCAGTCCGGCGGCGGCACACGACTCCTTCAGTCGCTCGAACTGATCCACCACCGAGCGCCACTCCTGCTGCTTCTCACCCAGATCAGCGGCCAGCAGCTACGGGCACCGCGGAGAAATACGGCGTTATTGACTGACACCGACACACGCTGATACTGACACATTGACACAGGGTATCTGATACTGACACACACCCATGTCGGTGTCCAGCAGCCACGGACAACCGGCCGAGGCACGACAGGGCCACCGACGAGCGGTACTGACTGACACACTTTGGCACATACCGACACACACTGACTCACTACGGCACTGACCCCAGCTGCAAAACTGACCTGCCAATTCTCGGTGCGCCGCTCCGGGTCCCACTCTGCCACCCCGTTCAGTCGCCGCTGTGATACAACTGACCCCATGTAACACTGACCCCTGCTTTCACTGACCTGCCGCTGTTCGGTGCGTCGCCGCTGTGATACTGACCCCTGTGACACTGACCCCCTGTAACACTGACCCCCTGTAACACTGACCCCCTGTAACACTGACCCCCCAGTGTCACTGACCTGCCGCTGTTCGGTGCGCCGCTCCGGGTCCCACTCGGCCACACCATTCAGTCGCCGCTGAGCCCAGTCTCCGAGCGCCGTCAGAGCCTGGTACAGCTTCTGGACGGCCGAGAGCTGCTGCTGCAGCCGCGCGCAGTGGCCCGGCAGCACAGAGCCCACCTGAAGCCGGAGAACACAGCTGTCAGAGCCCGGTCACCGTAGATCACCGGGGCATACAGGTAGGCCGCAGGCGACAATATGGCTACAACGTGCACATTGCACAATGCACAGGTAAGTTACTAAGTATCACGGCGGGTCACAAAAGAACACGGCAGGTCATTACAAGTCACTGGTCACCGGCGGTTTACACGCATACCCGACGGACGTAGCACTGTAAGCAATCTCGAATCACCGGGAAGAGTGGATCGACCGGCGGTACTGACCTGTTCCAGACCGGTGGAGATTTTCTGAAGCTCGGCCAGCGGCCGGTACTTGCGCTCCGGCCAGGACAGCTTGTTGGCCAAGGTTTTCTTGTCGGCCAGCTCCGCCATGCGGGACTGTAATCGGGAGGGGCGGGTCAGGGTGGACGACAGACAGCCGACATTGGGCTCCCGACGGCACCGACATGAGGCAACAAACTTCAAACACAACAGAAACTCGGCCCGTGACACGGCATTGTAATGTGAATGAAGGCCGTACATCCTCCTCGAAATTAAATAGAAAAAGGAACGATATCTTCCCTCGCCTCGGTAGCTCATAGTCATATTTGGTGCTGAGAGATGCTGAGCTTTGAAATAACTATGTAACTACATAGCATCCGGCGGCAAAACTCATCCCAGCCTCAGCTAGCCAAAAGCGGCTCTAAATAATACGTAAATTTGTCCCCGCGCCCACACAGTTCATCGCCCGGACTCCTCTCAATTCCGGTTTCGACCGGCGTGGCGCTTCATGAACCCACACTCCCATCCCCACTTCAGCCCTCATGCGCCCACCCGTTAGTGCGACAGCCCGCCCCACCCCTCAGGCACCGGCCCTGACTCCCCTCCCTCTCCCCCTCCTTCACGCCCAGCCCGCCCGGTCTGCCGCCGTCGGCTGCGATCGTCGCCGTCTGGCCCGACTCGGCGGATAATGCCGGCGGCGGCGGCGTCACACTCAATGGGCGGCTATTTCCGGCCCGGCCCGGCCCGGCCGCTGATCGGCCGGCGCACCGAGACGCCCGAGCTGGCCGGGAAACAGCCGGCTCAACAGCCGGCGCTCGGAGTAAATCACGGCGTGACGCCTCAGGGGTGGGCTGGCCGGTCATTGCCAGAGTTTAAAGTAGCCGTCACGGCTGCAATGTCTCTCCCCTCCCCACTCACAAACACACATGGGGACGGAATAGGGACAGCCTCGTCATCTTACTGTCAGCACCGTACCTGTGCCATGCTGTTGTTGACAATCAGCGCGCCCTCGTCACTGGGGTTGATCTGCTGTTGCGTCAGCGCCAGCACCGACTCGATCCAGCTCAGCAGCGCCGCCGTCTGCGTGTGCGCCTCCTGCTCGTCCTCCATTGTGGAGATTCTATCGGGAAAGGTCATCATGGGTCACTTACGTCGTGGGCCGGAGAGAAAGGTCAACATGAGTCGAAGTCTGTCGCCTTTTGGTCATTCCCTGTAGAGATTCTGATTTCTGTCAGACTTAGAGATCATGGGTCACAGACTGTCATTTTATGTGGAGGTTTTGCTAGACTCAGAACATGGGTTAAAAATCGGCAGAGTGCGGGATACCAGCTGTACTCTGAAGTACTCTGAAGTTCTGAGCACGAGCCTAGTCGGGGTGACAGGACACTGAGCACACCAGGGAACATTGGAGTGCTGCTCGGCCCCACGGGAACAGCCCGACGGATGTACATTGCATGGGGCAGGTAAATGAATACAGGGCAACCTCCATGACCGAGCCCATTCAAAGGACAGCGACCATATTGTGACTAAAATAGCGAGGTAGCGGTATCGCACCTGGACCGCCAATGTTTCCGATACTGCCGTGGTTATTGGACACACAGACGTGATATCTCTATCCCCTGTCCGTACTCAATAAAGCAGAGCAATATATGGCAGGCAGCGTCCGTAAAGGCCGCCGCCCACGCCCGCCCGGTGGCGCACCAGGTCCAGAATGTGTATATATGGTGCCGAAGCAAACTGACGTAGTTTAGGTTCCGCTTTGGCGCAGTTCATTTGCAAACCGAAATGAAACGTTTTTTCATATTGTTCGAGATATGACTATTTTTTCAGGCTAGCTCTAGCGCCAAAGGCATTTGGCATTTCGCACCGTGTCCCAGGGTAGCGCCTTCTGTCCTGGCCCTACTGCCTAACGCCCCTTTACATCGCTATGATCACTCTCTGTGGGACGCAGAGAAGCCTAGCGGCGTGTCCAATGGGCGGTGTCGGCCCTGGTTATTAGTCGTAGGACAGCGGCGAGCAGGCGTCCTATTGGGAGCCGACACGTTCAGCATAAGGGAACCGGGCGGGACTGGGGGACGCCGGGCGGACCTGGCGCAGCTGTGTTACCGGTGGCCGGCAGCCGGTCCCGGCTGATTAGAACGGACCGCACCGAACCACCCACTCCTCGTCCAGTGTTTGGTCGGCCGAGAGATTCGCCTCCCACTCGCCGGGAACTAATGTCAAATCGATACCTCCAATTCGGGTCCCAGCTGGGCCCTGAATGGGGAGCGCTCTAACCGACAGAGGACTCCAGCCGCTTGGGTCCTCGAGGTAGGGTCTTCACAATATTTCCACAAGCTTCGGATAACACTCATATCCTGTGTCTATAAATGTGTGATAAAATAGACGGCGAATATGAACATGAATAATTCGGATAGCGTCAGTCCTCCATTTTACAACTGGTTTTTCGAATGGAATGTGTTGAAGCTTTCGAAACAATGTGTCTGAATTGTGCAGAAAATTTGAGGGTATATTAACAAGGCAATGCATTACGCAATCGCATTAGTGAGGCAATCAGCTGCGAGTACGGAATGTCGTTTTATATAATAAAGTTGTCGGGACCAATGCTAGTGCGGTGTCAGTATCTGATTGTCAGTGTTACAGCCGTACCGTTCGCGTCGAGCGGCCAGCTCGGCCAGCACGCCCTTCCAGCGTTTGTTGAGGTTCTCGATCTTCTCCAGGAAGTTGGTGGCCTCAGCCGCCGACAGACCCCCGATCACCTCTCTGCTGGCCGAGGAGATGGCCGTGTACACGCTGTCAGAGAGGAGACGGCGGGTCACGTGGGGTTATAACAACAGGTCAGACCAAGACAGAGAGGGCCATAACATGTTACTGATACAGACAGAGGAGGTCAAAACAGATCATCTACACAGACAGAACATGTCACAGTAACAAACGTAGTGATCATGTCACTGGATCGCACAGTCAGAACAGATCAGAGTACACCGACCGCCCAGCAAATCAGAGATACGGGGACAGACGGCCACACTTAGTCCGTCTGAAGCGCGCTGTCCGTTTGCCCCCACGTTGCCGGGCCTTAGCGTCGCTTCACCGGCCGCTGAACGTCGCCAGGGCGTGGGTGGCCGGGCCGCCGGCTCCGTGGCCAGTCGGAGCATTCCCTATCGTTTATTTGGACCAAACCGGTAGCATTGCGCGCTGCGCTCGCTTCCCTCGGCCCCCGGGGCAGGCGGCTGTTTTAGAGAGCCACGGCCGTAGGCGCAGAATGTGTTGAAAGAACCCATAATACTCGGCAGCCAACGGCCACGACCCAGCGGACCAGTTACATCAGCCAGATGCATCCAGGAGAAATGGTCATGGAGGAAAAACATCAGCCGGACACATTCAGAAGACAGAGCAATGGAGAACAAACGTCTCGCACACCGCAGTACCAGGCTCGACGCAATATCGGCCACTTGCGCCTGTCAAGAGTGCTGGTGGCTTGACCAAGAAGAGCGGGTTACGGGACACTCTGCATTAGCGAGAGCCGATGTCGGATTCCACGTACGAAGCTCGGCCGGGAGAAACATCTGCCCTTGTCCTCAGCTCAGCGGTCGTGTGAGAAATTACACACCAGAAATAGTTTCAGCGCGGCGCCGGTCGGCCCGTGCTAATTTCCTCTCCCAACTGCCGTAAATACGTCAGTACCCACTTATCATTAAAGCCCAACTCGGCGCGAATTTCCGCTGCGGCTGTCGGCGCCGCCACAGCGGGAGGTTCCACCCCACCCTCTCACCACCGGCGGGGGGGGGCACGAGTGTCTCCGGCGTCCAATAACCGGCCAATGTCAGCGACACTTATCCGGGCGCAGCTGCAATCGGCGGCCGACACTCGGGCGAGGCCGTGTCACACGAGGAAGGACACAGGGCGAGGGACGGGGACGGTCCATGGGAAGGCTGGAGATGAGCTGGAGGGCCAGGGAAGGAATGAACTGGCAGTGGCTGGAAATTCCGCTTATAGGCAGCACAATATTATTCCATAACACAAGTCAGCGAGATAAGAACTAGAAATCATAAGAAGAAACAACCACTACCAGCGTCCAGCAATATCATTTATGCATCCTAAGATTTGTATGCCCAGCTGGTTCATGGACAATCGAGTCATCAACTTACATAAGCAACAACCAAAAAAAAAAAAAAAAAACTCGAGTTGGACGGCTTTTCCGCGGAAAATCGTGATGAACCAATGATATTCGGAATATGTAAGCCGAATGTGAGGAGCAATGTGCTGACAGTTGCTTGGTGTTGGTAATAGCCCACTCTTGGAATGAATGAATGAATGAATGAATGAATGAATGAATAAATAAATAAATAAATAAATAAATAAATAAATAAATAAATAAATAAATGAATGAATGAATGAATGAATGAATGAATGAATGAATGAATGAATGAATGAATGAATGAATGAATGAATGAATGAATGAATGAATGAATGGACTGTCTCCCTCCATAAGTTTGCGGTGAATGCCACTGGTCCGAGACGCCAATGTTCTGACCGTTGCAGTGCCGCGGATAGCTAGGTCGTCAGCGTACCGCGGACGACCGGCGCACAGTGGCCCTTTTTCAGAATTAGCACGCATTAATTCCCACATTACCTGCAAGTGGTGCAAGACATCACCACGTGATCAAGGACGTATTTCCTGCTAATGCAAAGAGAAGAAACGAAACGAACTGCCCAAGGAGATTCTGCCCAACAGCGACAGGCCGCTCGGCCCAAGATTTGGCGCACGTTCCCACGGCTCGCCCGCCGGCCTAGGCCGCTCCGAACGCAAGTGTGGCGAGCCCGCCAGCCGACCGCGCTGCACTGACCGCCAGGACGCCCCAGGGCGTCACGTGACCGCATCTACAGCTGTTGCCAGCCACCGTTAGTCGGCCCCGGCCGGGCAGCAACTAAGGTCAGCGCGACGCGAACAATACAAACACATAGGCGCTTTTGACGTTAGATCTTAAGCCGACCACGGGACTTGTGCGGCTTGGACATCAAACGCGACAAGAAATCGGACAGTTTTTCTTGAGCACAGCGTTATGCCTAAATGACATTTCAATATGCACATCTTAGGCAAAAGCCAAGCCACATTTAGGCGCACACCAGGTGACACCAGCTTCGAGCCAGGTCAATGAGCTTAGTCGTATCGAACAGGAGCCACAGCCGCTCGCGGACTGAACGGGCTCACGTTATCCACCGTAGAAGCAAAATGGCGCAAAATGGCGCGATGCCCTTTGGTGGACATGGTCAGAAGAGATCGGCGATTCGAACGATGTATAATACGATATGTCCCAGAGTGTGCTACTTAACATAAAGCTTCATATGTATGCCGCCATCTCCAGTTAATAATTGTCCTGTTATTGTGTTCACAATATTCGGCAAAAGTGGTCAATTTAAGTTTATACAATGGAAATTGTGGTTTCTAGGGCTTCTACGTAGACTCAGCTTCACAGCCATGCCACTAATTTTTAATATTTTCTCACCGAAAGCCTTACAAATTGATGTTCATCTCACCCTACTTTTTAGGGTCCGCCGGTGGTGTCCGCGCGCCTCTCGACAAACTTCGATTTTGCGGTCAGTTTTACCAAAGATAATTATTTTTTAGGAGGTAAAAATGGCACCATCGGATAGTTTGGAATGTTTTGCACACGATTAGACTGCTTTTTACTCAAAAGAAGAGAAAAAATATTTTGAATTTATGCGTGCTAATTCTGAAAAAGGGCCACTGTGCGGCGGTCACCCGGCGGTTCTCGGCATGCCGGCACGGTCAGGTCGAGTGACGGTCGACAAAGTTGGTCCAAATGTCGGCCGCCCGCCGTGGCAGGTGGGCGGTGGTGACAGGACGGGTGAAAATGTCAGCGGTGGTGGCCGGGACAGCGACACATGGCGTCACACGGGGCCGGGGCAGGTGGCTAGACCGACTCGTAAAATAACCTGCACCGATCAGCTGCAGAAATGCCGTCAATGCTCGTCATATTGTGGCGATATGTTCGACTGGACCGATCAATGGTTCAGTCCCTGCGGAACGCTCAATATCGGCACTGGGTGGAGCGGATGATAGAACTGCTCATACCGACAGCATGATGGGCAGACACGGCAAGTCGCCGCCACTAGAGAAGTGATTCGGTATCGAGTATCGACAGTCACACAGCTGCTGGTCCCAGTGAGAAGAAAAATCTACCAGCCGGATGAACGGGTTATCTCGAGACACAAACGTGTCAATTTTCCACTGACCTAGCCTTCAGGCCGCCCGCGAACTTAGAAGCAGGCTGGTACATACACTCGATCGACAAGATCGAAATCGGCCAAGCTTCGTGCCATCCCAATGCGCTATAACGAGTGTCAGACATGTATTGCGCTTCCACCCCTCCCCCTTTCCCACACAACTACAAGCCAACACCGCGGTGACTGGCCAACCGGCTGACGGCGCACTCACTTGTGTTTGATGGTGACCTGTTTCTCGAGCTCCTTCTGTGCGGCGCGCAGCTGCGGGATCTCTGCCGTGCCCAGGGAGCGGGTCTCGGCAATACGCGCCTCGGCAGTGACCAGCCATTGACCGAACTCGTGCATGTTGTCCTGCAGCAGTCGCCACGTCTCCCGGCACCGGGCCATGTTGCTGCGGATAGAATATGGCGGTCAGAAGGGTCGGGGCAGGGGAAAACGGGACACTACTGTCATGCAAATTGACAACATGTATTCAACATCTCCAGCAAACCTTAAAGTAGGTGTTTAAAATTCGCGGCGGCAGTTTGATTTTGTTTGTTTGTTTTGTTGGGTTAGGCCCTTTCGGTCAATTGTGACCATTTCAGAGCCGGAAGGATGATAGCATATAGGGGGAGACATTGGTCTGGGCAGGCACCCTAGTGAGTCGCCGGGGCTGAGCCCGTCCATAGGACAGGCCACCCAGCCCCAAGGCACTCACTGCACCCGGCTACAGGGTGCGCTCCCTCGGGAGCAGCGGTGCCGCTCCAAGGGAGCAGCCCGCATGAGATAAAGTTGCCTGTCCAGCCCGGAGGGAGGTTGCGGCGTGGAGGAGAAGGATTTCAGTATCCTGAGGATAGAAGCACGGAACGGTGGAGTGACAGTTTGAGAGGGCTGGCTACCGTGACCCACCCGACACAGAAATGTCCGCTTAGTTTGGCCACATGGGGACACTACCGGATGGTGGCGGCCCACCCCATATAACCACACGGCAGTCGAGCGCGACGACCCTGCGTATAACTCTAACACTCAGATCCCCGCGGTCATATCAGCGGATATGGTCGGCCATCACAAGATGATCGTCTCAGTGGGAGCCCAGACTCTGGTCTGACAGCGCCATCTCTGAGACGGTTCAGTAGGTTCAACTTCTGATAGCGATCGTAACAACCGCTGAGAGGTGAATGGTTGTCCTGACCTGAGATCTGACATTCATCTCCTCCGTATCTGTCCACCCCTTACACACATTTTCCGTTCATGGACCGAAGACATATCCCAGCTCCTTTGTGCCTCCTGTGCCTCCTGTGCCTGTGCCTCTCCTGTCTACCGCTGCTTCTGTCTACCGCTGCGCCACTTCCAGTATTCCCTGCTCCCTTGCCGCACCTCTCATTCTCCGCCCACCAATACTGCCCCTGGTATCCCTTCTCTACCTGTGCCTCTTCTGTCTAGTGTGTCTACCGTAGCCATACGTGTATCTCTTCTTCTCCTCCTCACCTGTGCCTCTCCTGATAGCCCTGCTGCAGCCGGCGCCAGTCGTCGCGCAGCTTGTCGGCCGCCCGCTGCGCCATCTGCCGCTGCGCCGAGTCAGCGGAGGTCAGCGAGCCCAGGTCGGTGAGAAGCTCCGAGACGCGTGGCTCCAGCGCGTCCATCGCCGCGCGGATACTCTGTAGGAGGGAGAACAGGGTAGACGTCAGAGAGAGTCAGTGAACAGCCCACAATGCCCATGAGCGGCAGTAGGTACTCTGCTTGCCTTAAAACGTGGTCAGACTTTACACACGACTATCTACCTATAAATGGCATTATGAACAAAGCTCCAGCAGTCTGCAGTGATCAACCGCATCGACTCAGATCGACTGAACACCAAGCGACAGCCCACAGCCACTCCGACCCAGTCTTACCTTGAGTGCCTCCTCCCTGGCGTTGAACCGTTCGTACTGTCGGACTCCGAGGGGCGCGGAGGCCAGCTGCCGCTGTACCGTGGCCACCGCCTCGCGGACGGTGGAGACGCGCGCGGCGAACGCGGCCGCCGGACTGGGCGCCGTCTGTCGGAGGGAAGGGGAACAGTGTGTGTGAGGGGCGAGGGCAGTACCCCAGGCGGTACAACGACGACTAACAACAGACTAGCAACAGTACCACGACGACTAACAACAGAGTATACAGTTAGCAGAGCGACTCTGGCTGGACGGCAAACTGCCGCCACAGTCTCAGAGTAGCCGGACATCTTTCATGTTGTCAGACAGTCACTGTCCCCTGGAGATTGGAGACAAAAAGTGCATCCAGATTCCAGACACAAAGAAAGGGTTATTCCACCTGTAAGACAGAGCACAGGCTGATGTGGTACTCCTCTCTGACCCCTTCCTCCGACCCGTTCTCACCTTGGGGTCGATGTTTTTGCCGTCCATCAGTTTCTGGTACTGTTTGCAGCGGTCCTGGGCGGCCTTCCAGCGCTTGCTGAGGTCGTCCAGAATGGCGGCCAGCTTCTCTCGGTCCTGTCCGGTGAGGTCGGCTGTCTCCCAGCGCACCGACTCGAGCTCCACGCCGCGCTCGCTGATCTCCTCCTGCAGTGCCTGCGTGAGTGAGAGCACAGAGGGTCAGAGCAGTGTGACAGTAGGGCTGGGCTAGACAGGACAGGTCAGAATAGGATGAGGATGGGAAAGGCAGGGCAGGACACGTTAGAAGTGGACAGAATAAAGCTGGACAGATCAGCGCAACGCAACAGAGACATAGTACAATGCAGTATAGAGAAAGACAGTTCACTTCAGAGTAGATAAGATTCCAGTTCGACATCGCACCGCCCCAGCTCGAACATTCGACGCCTGAGACTTAACTGCGTCTAGTACCCCACATGGACTCAGCACGATCGCCGAGCTCAATTTGCTCGTGTCACCGCCCCCGCCTGGATAAGGTCCATATCTGACTGCATCCATCGTGCTCATCCAGCCCACTGGACTCCGTGACCGACCCAGCGTCCCTAGTGGCAGGTCACCGGTGCGCCGTCCCAAAAATGGAGCCACCCGTCACGCTATCAACACTAAACAGCACTCATTACCATATGACCCCACAGGAGGCGGGTCCGTGCCAGCCATATCACACTGATGTGAAACGACACGTCCATATTTGAAGCGCAATGGAATACTGAGTAGAGGCAATACCGTGACGGGTTATTTCGGGGGACGAAGCTCTGAATGTGGTCTGGGGATGAAAGTGTGGGCGTATAAGCTCGGGGCGCCAGACTGGCGACATGAAAGGAGGTGCGCAACAGCCCCGCTACCTTACCTGTTTGTGTAGGGAATGGTGAGTGGTCTGAGGCAAACTCGGGGGGGGGGGGAGGTTAGGGATGGTACTTTGCTTAGGAAAATGAGCCGGGCGATACTATCTGCTGAGGTGGGGTCAGGAGCGCTCCTGACCTGGGCGTACACCAGATTCGCCCCAGTACCTTCTGCTGAGCGAGGTCGTTGTTGGCCGCCTCCAGCCGGGCGTTGACCTGCAGCAGCCAGCGCTCTATGTCCTCCAGCTGGTGTTTGCAGGAGCGGCTGATTGAGTCCAGACGCTGGTACGTCAGCCGGCGCACCTGAAACAGCAGGGGCAGGTCAGGTCAGCTGGTGCACAGAAATCAGTCGAGCATGGCGTAGCCAGAGCGGCTGGTCAGGTCGGCTGACGCACATAAGGCAGCCATATCAGGTCTAAGTAAGGTCGGGAGTCAGCTGAGGCCATCCCATGCACCGGGTAAAACATTGCTCAGTCGCTAAAACCAATGATGACAAGATGGTACGCCAGATTCTGCTCAGACAAGTAGCGCCGTAAGGGGCCAAGGTCTCTTAGACATGACAGGTCAAAGTATACTAACACCAGCCTATTCGATCAGCGGGGCGGCCCGCCAGAACCTGGCGCGATTAACACGTCCACAGCCCAGCACCACCGGCTGGCAGATCAAACGGTCTCAGGTGGCACGCCATCCATCAAAGCCGCACGACAGACGTCTTAGGTCAGAGTCTGAACCCCGAGTGGCCGCGGGGTCATGGCACCTGGCGCCGCCGGCGGGAGTTTCTGGGAGGGAGGCCGCACCGCGCCAGAGGCGATGCCGACGCCAGGTTAAGCAGAGTTGAACAAAAGACGGTGCGCTACTTTGCCGCAAACTTAGCAGCAGATGACAGAGCAAGGCGATAACGGGACGAAACTGAGACCTGCACTGACCGTCCAGTAGATGAACACTGAGCAGACATTACACCGCTGTTCAGCGACTATTCAGCGATACTCGGACACAGGCACAAATCGAACTGGGAGCCCGCATCAACACCAGCATCGAATCCTCTCCTCGCTCACCAAAACGCACACACATCGCACACAGCTCTCAGTTCACCTTCACACACCTCATAGCCAGCCCGCGGTCGCTACCGCCCGGTGTCACCGTCCCGTCCCGTCCGCGGCCCGACTGGCCGCCGGCCGCCGGTCTCGGCGCGCACACGGCGCGGCCACCGGAGGCTCACATTGCAGTGGAACGCCGGAGGAGGCGCGGCGAGGGCGCGAGGAATCCACCGCCGCTGCCAGCCGTGGATGACGGCCGGCCGCGCGCCGCTGACGGACTGACGGCGGAAGCTGACGGAAAAACGGACAGACGGAAGAGCGCTGACGGAATAACGGACCAGCAATGGCCGGATAAAGGACCAACGCTGACGGGATAACGGACCAGCGCTGACGGGATAACGAGCCGACGGACCGAGAGAACTGACGCTGACGGAAAGACGGACCGATGGGACGGACCTGACGGAGCTGACAGACCGACGGCCGCCTCTGACGGGATTACAGACCTACGGAATAGAGCGGACGGGAAAACGGAGCGACGGACCAACCGTCAGGCGGGTAGACAAGCTGACTGGCGGGCTGACGAGCTGACAGACTGACGGAACAAGCACTGACGGCCGATGACCAAAAGGCTGTCAGCATGACGAGCTGACGTATAGAGATGTCGAATAGTTGATGGATTCCTAATCCCAAAACCAAAGTTCGGAGGATAAACAACGATTGACTGAAGCTGAAGTTCCGATCGAGGTTTGAAGAGCCAGATAACTCTGAACGCTGGAGAGCTGGACCCGTTTCTCATCAATCACTTCAAATAAACGATCCGATTGGACTCAAGTATCATTGGTCAGAACAGGACCGTGTCACTGGGAGAGTCGGGCCAACGCCGCACCGCGCCTCCCTATTGGATCAAGACAAACACCAGCCAAATCGCTTCGGACCGCTGCCGAAGTGCCCAGCGGACAGTGCAGCTCCCTTGTATCGTCCCTCACCACCAACATATACCGTCCAAACAAGCTGCAAAGTCCTGAAGGACAGAGCATGACCATCTGACTCTGAGCGGCGGGCGGCGGCGACATCCCGGCCAAACACTTCAGATCGCCCCAAACAACACTCGACATCGACCGTCGCAGACATACAAAGCCACGAAGGCACCCTATAAACACATATAAGCCAATCGATCCAACAGGATTTGTCGCAGTCGTATTTGTGCACCCACTCCATACATAGGTAATAGGTATTTTGAAACCAACAGCAAGCAGCACAACACTGCAACCCGCGAGAGGCTGCCCACTGGGTCATCGGCCCCTGACCCGCCCGGCGGGGGCGGCGGCGGTGGCGGCGGCGGCGGCGCGGTCTGCTATTTACGGCGACGCGGCTGAGTCAGTCGGCCGGCTGTCACCACCCAGCCAATTGTCTGACGAGACGCCGACGCTCTGTCGGGAAGGAAGACGTCACACTGCCGCGGGACAAGTCGGAACCGAGCAGCTCATCCAGCGATACTGACTATGGTCTATGGGTAGCTGCTTGCAATTGGTCTGGGGACTGTCTGCGACTCGTCCAACGATGTTGATCAAGGGGCGAAGGTTGTCTGCAGCTGTCCTAGCAGCAATGACCGGGAACTGTGAGCAAACCACCAGGCCGTTTAAATCAGAAACTATCGGCATCGTACCGGCCCAAGAACGACCGAGTGCACGCCCACTCAGTGCCATCAATCAGCCGCCGGCAGCAGCACCGTCCCCGGAACATCCCCCTTCCGCCGGGTGCCGTGTACCGACCCCATGTCGGAGGAGCAACACACCCCCACCCGACCCGATCAATCTGTTCACACCGCCAAACAGCAGTCGGTTCACGCCGCCATCAAACAGCGTCCGTTCGCACCGGGCTCTGACGTGTTTGGATCGGCGCCGCTCCGCCAGGCGTGTGTGTATCTACCGGGACGGCGCGTAAAAACCGAAAGTAAAACCGCCGCTCGCGCCGCTGGATCTGCACCGGGGGCGGGGCTGGTCGGCGGAAATGTTCGGCGTTCATCGGCGTACTCCAGAACGTCCATCCGGGCCAGGACTGTAGTGATTGCGGGACAGGAGATACGGCTCCAAAAAGAAGAGAGAAGAGAGAGAAGAGAGAGAAAAAAGAGACGAGATTGGAGAGAGAAGGTAAAAGAGGGAAGAAAGAGAAGGAGACATCAGCACCGATCACGGGGTACCCTTCGTACCACTGACATCTGACATGACATGCCACACCGGACCCGGAAAGACCCCGAGCCGGGCCGACCGTCGGCCGCCATCGAGTCTGGAGGAGGGGGAGAGTTTTGCCAACAACCGGTCTGTTGGATGTTCGACATCTGCTCTAGCCACTTCATCCCATCCGTCACCGTCTTTTGGCTGTCAACACAGCTCGCTGCCTGTCATCAGCCATCACCGCTTGTGGCTGTCGTCGGGTCCATGGCTGTCATCATAACCCACATCACAACAGTGACAACGGTGGCACAACGGACGTTCTTTGGCGCTGCGACCCTTCCCGCTGTCACCAACCTCTGTCCTGACTGTCCACTGTCCTCTCACTGTCTACTGTCCTGACTGATCGAATGAGTCCCAGACGGCATCACCGCCGATCATTTGCCATTGCCTTGTGACTTCTCGATCCCTGGGCGAGGCTCCACCTACTCTCGCTCTAGAACAGACTCCTGAGAGCGTTCACATGACCCACGGGAGAAGCTGATGACACGAACGCAGAAATGACGCCTCCATCACCAACTCGTCTGTACGTAGATCTCCAGCTCAGAGCAGCTTCTCCCCCTCTACCGCAAGCTGCGGTGGCTTGTCAGCAGCCGGAGACAGTCAAATGCCGATCTCAGCAGAGGTGGCGACTGGCGACCCACCCTGCCTGTCGTCACTCGACCGCTTCGCTGTCAGTAGCGGGCGGGGCGCTGCTTCTTCACTGACTCTCCGTTATACGCTCGCTTCACCGTCGGTAGCGGGCGGAGCACTGCTTTCTTCACAGGCCAGCTGCTGGGTCCGCCGTGGCAGCGTGCCGTTGACAGATCCAGCCTCTGCCGGCGCGATTCTGCCGCCGGTGACAGATCCAGCTTCTGCCGGCGAGGTTCTGCCATGGCAGCGGCCGCCGGCAACAGTGATAGATTCGTGCGGTTCTGCCGTGGCAGCTGCCCCGGCACCAGTGACAGATTCGTGCAACCAGCGGTCGCCGGGCAGGTGACAGATTCGTGCGGTTCTGCCGTGGCAGCGGGCGCCGCGCCGGTGATAGATTCGTCTGCCGCCCGGCGCCGACAGCGCTGGATGTAAGCAGCATTCAGCGGTCGGTTGGAGCCCGGCCGGCCGTGCGGTCGGCCTCCTGCCGACACCAGTCAGCCGCCGACGCTCGGGGACGGTAACACTGGCCGCAGTTCAGGGGCGAGACGAATGGCTGCCGGGGGTGGCAGCCCCGCTGGCTACCAATCACCGCCGCCCACCGGCTACCGATCAACTGGCAGAGTACGCTGACGGGCCGAAGGCCTCCACAAGTGGCAGATAGGGACACACTCTCTGAGCACAGGACGAGGTGACTGGCGGGCAGACAGCCATCCACAGAGGAAATACCGATAGATGCCAATATTGTGGAAACGGTGCGCCACTGTCTGAATGAATATGAACCGCAACGGGAATGTTCCAGCTTAGAGCCGAGGGGGAGCGTCGAGCGAAGGGATTTACTAAAGCGGATAAACACATATACCACATACAATATAAGTCTCATATAGCCACAGCAAGTGCAGCATCAATCTACAGCGACAACCACAACCTACAGTCACAGTACCAGCTACCCATGCCGGCCACAGCAACGGCTAGGTATGTACGGCTAAATGCTGTGACAGCTAGCCAACAGCCACAGCCACTGCTTAGGTTAGAGCTGCTCTATTACAGGCTTCGCCGCTTCACAGAACATTCAGTCGAGTCACAGTCAGAAACAGATTACACTCTGTTACGTCAGTCTCAGTCAATCACGGCTATAACACAAACAGCAGACCATTGACACGTTGAAACAATATAAACTGACACCAACATACGCCCATTGACACAACTAAGTAGTGACACTCTGAAACGTGATGTCCGATGCAATGACCAGGAGACACCACAGACATCCAAATCACTGTCGACGTCCAGCCTGAGACCCAAGCCGGCTCATTCCTCACATGCATGCATATTGCATACCATGTTTCGAACAATGGAATGTCCGAAAGTAATCAGACATCAGAAACCGACTGTACTTAACGCACACTGATGATGTCATCTGAGTTTCCGGGTGCCCGAACTGTAAAGGTCATTGGCGTAGACTGATCACACACTGAAATAGTGTGGAGAGATCAACTGTGTTTAGCATGCAGTGAGCTAGCCATTTGTTCAGGAATCACTTGGTTATGGGCACAGAGACAAGGCCACATCTATTGTGATGGTGGAATTATGATGTTCCACATTGAAAAGAGAACGACACTCATGCTGACACCAACAAAATACTACAACAACCATGCCAACAACAGCAGATAAACAAAAATGTGACAGTACACGTGGGAATACTTCACACAGAGGCATGCAAGACGAGGTTGTTGAGAGCCCTACTTTGGCCTGCAGGTCAATGAAGTCCACATTGAGCACAATGTCAGCCGGCTTGGATCCGTTTCCATTTCCGACTCCTCTCCCAGCTCCCGCTCCGACTCCCTGTCCAGATCTAGCCACGGCTCCTTTCCCGGCCCCAGCCACGGCTCCTTTCCCAGTACCGGTCACGAACTCTTTTCCAGCTTCAGTTACGGTTACGGTCACAACCCTGGCACTAGCACCACCAACAGCACCAGCAGCAGCACCACTTGCAGCTGCCGCCCCAGCACTAGCCGCAGTTCGCGTCTGGCCACCAGCAACAGGCGCATTAGCTGTAGCTGCAGCTGGTGTTCCAGCACCAGCACCAACTGCCGTTCCAGCACCACCACTAGCACTGGCTGCAGCTGCAGCTCCCGCTCCTGCTGGCTGCATGATTGCCGACTGCCGCCCAGCGTCCCTGGCTCGGCCGTCAGCCCACACAGCACACAGAGTCCACTCACTGGCCGCACTGTCCTGACCCAGCACACACACACAGAGCTCGGTCGGTCGGTCGGCGGTGGCACCGCCCCGGCGCCGGTCGCGGCGGCACTCGCTCAGCCGCCAGCCGGCACCGTCGTCAATGGAGGCGTCCCATCGGCGGCGGCGGCGGCGGCGGCGCGGCTCGAAATAGCGCCCGCGTCGGGAGGAGCAGAGACGACGCACGGCGCGGCGGCGGCGGTGGCGGCGCGACATAAACACATGACAAAACACGGAGCATATAGGCACCTTTATATGGAAACTCTGATGGTAATATCTTAGGCCGTAGGGTTTACACCTCACACTCAGGCCTTTTTGCGTTAAAAATGTTCGCCATATAAAATATCCATCTCACCATAAAGTGTTGCTATATATGACCGTTTGTCATCTGACTGGCTCTGTTTGTGTTCTCTACCGAGCATAAATAGAGCCCTGTCGAGTAACTTGAGGCGAGTTTAGTTTACTGCAGCGTCACAGCAGCTTGACGCCCAACGTAAACTCGACTGAGAGGTGCAGAAATAGTCACAACAGCTGCATTTCGAGCGTGGGATGAGCCGTGACACCCTCAACAGCTATCTGTGGCTGCTTGACGGACCGTCAGGGTGGACATTCCCGGGACGAACGGGACGATCAGCGGCCAAGAGGTGCGTGGGGGAGTACTGGAGGGGCGACTCCGCCACAGCCACACCGGCGGCGCTCTCACCGACAGGTAAACAACGGAACGACTGAGGAAGCCGGGGGAGGGACTAGAGAGGGGAGGGAGATGGATAGGTATAAATAGAGAGGGAAGAGCGCGTGAGAGATGGCTGGAAAATGACAGACATTTACAACACGGATTTATGGTGACACGCGCTATAATTCACGCGTTAAAAGCACCAGAAAAACATCAATAGGAAAACGTGACTGATGCTCGTGTAAATTTGACTCCTTTATCACAACCCGTCTTCGTGCCACTTATCACATCGAACAGGTAACATGCCGAATATGTCAGCCACATCTACAACTCATGCTGGTGATATATCATCCGCTTGGTGGAGAAGAGCGAAGAACGATCCCGCTATCGTCCTGGAGCGACCGGTTCAACCCAGACCGGCACAGGACAGAGCAGTAACGGGTCAGATTTTCCTCCACCTGTCGTCCTCCAGTCACTTGTACCATTGTGTACTCGCACTCCCGAGAACACCCCGCCCTGTAACCGGCCAGCCAGCTTGTCTCCCGCCCACCCGGTGTCCCTGTCACCCCGGCCCAGCAGGGACTGAGCTCCCGGGGCTCTCCGCTCGCCCTCCTTCGGAGAAACACGACGGTCCGGTGACCGCCCGACTGACCCTCCACGACCGGCCAGCTGCGGCACCTGTCAGCCGGCCATACATACACCGCCACACCCCACACATGGCCAGAGCGGGCTGGAGTCACGCCAGACGCCAGCGGAGCTTGGTCGAGTCCCAGATGAGCCTAGTCCAGCCCAGCGAAGTCCGATCCAGTCAGAGTAGCCCGCTCAAGTCCCCTGCGGACTCCAATGGTCGTGAGTCATTTTCGTGAGTCGTGAGTTTAGCAGAGTCGTGTCCGTACAGAGAGGTCTCCAAAGACAGTCAGATCCAGCCCGGTTCGCTCTCTGTTCCGTCTCTGTCTCCCCACCTGGCTGCCCCCTGACCCTTCCCCCCCCCCAGACCCCCTGTCCGTCTCGGTGCCAGCGATGACGTCACCGGACGGCCATCCGTCAGCGCGCAGTCAGCGTCGGCACGCGCCGGCCCGTAATTGGCCGGACGAACGCCGCCCCGGCCGACCGCACCCAGACCAGTGACCGCCCAGTCGACCGCGCCCAGCCCAGTGACCGCAGACAGAGAACACAGAGACAGCGGGCGACGCGAGCCGGTCAATTGGGATGAGTAACTGCAGAGTCTAGCAGACAAAGGGTGGCCTTCTTGCTCATTAAAACTGTCAACGTTGTTAGTAACGAGGTGCAGAGAAGACGAGCATCTGGTCACCGCCTGTCCGCCCCGACTCGTGTCTGACCGCAGAGCGAAGGAGACTGACAGGACATGGCCAGGCAGGGTAGGTCGGTGACCTGACAGGGCGACCCCATGACCTGACAACGTAGCCATGTGACCTGACAAGGTGCCTATGTGACCTGATAGGGTGACCCTGTGACCTGGTGATGTGACCCTGTGGCCTGTGACCTGAGAACGTAGCCATGTGACCTTACCGCGTGGCCCTGTAGCCTGAAGGATCGTCATGAGACCCGGAAGAGCGGTTCGGTGACCCGTCAAACTTCAAAGTGACCCGGTGACCCACTAGGCCGACACGGCGACCCACCAGACATCCCGGTGACTCGACAGTTGCCAGTCCACGAAACTAGAGCGGACCATGAGCCACACAGCGATTGAGGTTCCACACAGAGCCAGCGCCGCGAGGTCAGCAAACGTCAAAACACCTGAACTTATCAACTGGTGCCAACAGCGCAACGACCCGAAAACAGCCCGAGGAGAGTATGACCTAGGCTCCGCATCCAGCCAGTGCTCAGAAAACACCTGTCGACATTTGGCGGACCAAACCTGACGTCATCCCAGCTAGTAATGGGATTTATTTACCGATAAACAACCGCTCAATCTGTGGAGGTGACCGAACGACCCTGCGTAGGTGTCGTAATCACCGTCATAAACCGCGGCTGGCTGCCGCCGCCAAACGACCGGAGCTCAGCGCCCCTCCCTGCCTCCCCGCCCTCCACCGGTCGGCCCGCCCGCGCCGGTCGGCCGGTCCCCCTTACCTCCATGTGCGACTTGAGCGCGTGCCAGCGGGCGCGCAGGCCGTCCAGCTTGCGGCGCAGCGTCTCGGCGCGGCCCACGTCGCGGCTATGCAGGCCATAGACGAGCGTGTCGCCGCGCGAGATGAGTGTGGCCACGTCAGGCTGCAGCAGCGACACCGCCAGCTGCGCCGCCTGGTGGACAGTCGGGCAACCTATAGTTGCACGCTCCGCCACAGGCGGCACCGGGTCGAGCAGACACAAACACGCAGGCATACACAAACTAAACTATAGTGACAGCTAAGCACGATTATCGAGTATCAACTCACGAGCAATACTGCTAATCCACATCTAGTTCATGACCAATAAAACAAATCAAAACAGCGTATCAAGGACAAGTTATTTAAACACATGCTTGGTGCATATAAATGTTGCAAACGGCGCGGTAAGGAACTTTACCAACTGCTTACTTCTTCACACAAATGGCAAGGCCAACAAACTATTTACTTTCACACAACTCTTTAGTTTAGATCGACCACACCGAGGGCAGTGCAGTGACAAACCATCAGCGGCAGCCTGTGTGTGTTAGCAGACAGTGTGTGTAGAACAGAGACCCGCGGCTCACCTCGATCTCGCTGTGCCGTCGGGCGGCCACCTTGGGCTGCCGCTCCATATCCGCCTCCACGGCGTCGATCCGGCCGATACAGGCGTCTACCTCAGCCACATAGGCGGCCACCTCGTCCTGACCGGCGGGCGGCGCGGGCCCCTCCACGGCGTACCGGTTAGCCAGGACGCCGGCGCCGCTGGTACGGTCGGCAGGAGAGGAGCGCATCCGATCGCTGCTGCTGCGGCGCGCCGACACCGCAAACTGGTTGGCGATGACTTCTGGTGAGGACTCGAGCGCGACTGATCGCTCCGGCGTGCGCTTCGGAGGGGCATTCTTGGTTGTGGTGGTTGCCGGTGTCGGGCCCTGGTAGGAGAGGGGGTCACTGGTCAGCGTGGGGGGCATTGCGGGCTAGACAGGGGACGACACATAAGGGGTGGGGGAGGGTCACTCAACCGGTCACTGTGTGAGTCTGACAGCACAGTAATTGTGACGGGTGGACAGACGGACGGACAGAGCACGCGTCTGCAACTGGGGGCGGTGGGGCGCACGGCGGGCGGCCGGGCGGCCGGGCGGCGCGGCGGTCACCGTACCTGCTGAGGACGCGGCCGGCGCGGCTCTCCAAAGTCGCGGTCGCTCAGAGACGAGGTGGACAGGTGCAGCGAGTCATCGGAGTCAGAGTCGGACGAGTCGGACGAGTCCGAGTCGGAGGAGTCCGAGCTGAGCACCTTGACTCGCCGCTGTCGCTCCAGCTCGGCCAGCGGAGTCACCAGGTCCGGCACAGTCGAACCGGTGGAGGCTGGCGGGCGCGCCGCGCGCGGTGAGCGCGTCATCAGGTGGTGCGGCGCGCCGCGCTGCTCCCGCGTCACCTCCGCCTCCCGGGCGGCCGGCGGCTCCTCGGAGCGCTGCTGAGGCGCGGCGCTCGGAGCCGGAGCCGCCGGAGCGGCCGGAGCCAGCTCCGTGATCCGGCGCAGTGCAGCCAGCTTGTCGCGCGCCGGCGGCGGAGAGTCCGTCCAGTCGGCAGGGGCGCGATCCACGCGCGTCGCAGTGAACACGTCATCATCCGCTTCGGCAGCGCCGTTCAGGTCAGAGTCGACGCCGATGATCTTGAACCGCCTGGTGGTTGGTGAGGCGCTCGTACGCGCCGGGACTGCCGGGGCTGTCCGAGCCGCCGGGGCCGGCGGAGTGGCCGGGGACGGCGGGGCGCCCAGGCTGCGGGAGCGCGGTTTGGGCGGCACCGGCGGCGGTGTGCGTGAGGCGGACAGCCGACGCGGCGACTCGCGGGCGGCCGGCTCGGTCAGCTCGGTGCTGCCGGCCAGGTGGCAGCGCTCCGGGTCCTGGGCGGAGGGCAGCGACAGCCGGCCGACCGTCACCACCGCCTCCTCCAGCAGCGGCGGAAACTCGCGCAGCGGGCTGTCGCGCGGGCTGAACGAGCACACCGAGCTGCGCGGGCTCCACGGGCTCGGACTCTTGTACGTGATCACCTCGTAGTCGGCGCCGGGCGCGGAGACGGCCGTGGGCGCCGGGCTGGAGCTGCTGCTGCGCCGCGCCAGGAACTCGTCACTGCGCCGCCGGCTCTTGGCGGCGGCCATAGAGCGCTGCGCGTCCGCCTGGGCGGCCATCTCGTACATTCTCTCCACGCTGCGGCGCCGCTTCCTCTCCAGGGTGCTGAGCAGCTGGCGACTGTGGTCAGCCGTCTGCTCCAGACCGCTGATCACATCGTCCAGCACTGAGGAGGTGCTCGACTTGCGGCTCGGTGAGGAATCCTGGGCCGGAGCCGGTGCCGCCACCGGAGCCGGAGCCGGGATCGCCGCCGGAACCGGAGCTGGGGCCGGTGACAGGTCCTGAGCCGGGACCGTCTTCTGGGCCGGTTTCGGGGCCGACGTGTCCACGCTCGGCACAGCCGCGCTCGGCAGGCTGCTGCTGGTGGTGGTGACTGACGCCGACGGCGCGCTCGTGACCGTCGCCGGCGTCTCCACGTCCATAGTCAGGTAGGAGATGGTCACGGTGGTCTGCTCGACCTCCACGATGGTGCGCGGAGGTGTCGAGTAGGGCAGCGTCACTACCAGGCTGACGGGCGGCTCAGCCGCCAGCTCGCGCTGCTTGCTCTCGATGGTGCGCACGAACTCTGTCTGCCGCGACTGGGCCGTCGGGGCCGGCGCCGAGACCCTGCTCGCCGCTGCCGCTCTCTGCAAACAACGCACACGGTCGGAGTTCGGCCTCTTCAGAACCCAGCGGCCGGCGACCGGGCAGAGGCGACATCCAGCGACCAGGACAGACGAAGCCACCAGGCCCTCACAGGCAAGCCCGAAGCGTCCACGAAGAGAGAAAGAGCCGGTGCCCAGCGGCGTCCCAGAGGCGACCCAGCGGCCGACGGTGGCGGACCGAAGCGTTTCCCGGCAGGCAGCGACAGACCGACGACCAAGAGACCTGGCGGCGCCGCGCCGGCCGCCGGCGCCGCGTGCGGTTAGCGCCCGGTTGCAGACACGTGCCGTGAGGTGCCGCCGCGACGCGGTCCGCCCGGCCGTGCGCGCCGTGTTAGCATGCAGCGGTGGGTCACGGCCGACAGTACACGGAAACACCCCGGCCGCACATGACAGCTAGTCCAGGTATCGGGGACAGGGCGCGCTATTAAGGCGAGTCTATCACACATGCTACAAAGCCACATGCCGCGTGTTGTTTGTCTGTGTGCAATGTGCATGTGACCGGGTGAGACCCTGTTTGTGCGGCGAGCGGCGGCCCGCTGGCGTTGAGACCCGCGCCGCCGTCGGCATGCAGTGAGTCCCGAGGTTATGCCACGCGGCGGCGGCGCGGGCACGTGCAGTGTCGCCCCGGTCTGGCGCCGCCCACACAGGGCGGCGCCAGGAAACACGGGTTCGGTGAGGTGCTCAGAGAGTGAATCGGAACGCTAAAACTGGCACAATCATGAGGCTTAACGTGTTGATGTGTACGATTATCACGTGGCGAGATTTATATATTTACGCAACTGCTAACGAGCTTATAAAATGCCGGTGGATATGACACACCAAGTCCCATCCACCTGTAAGTGGTGAGTTACAGGTGAGATAACGAGAAAACTACTCGAGAAAACTACTCGAGAAAAAACTACTCGTTTATGCGTAGTTTACACACTGCTACGTTGAAAGTAGACTGGCATTTGTAAAACGTCCAAGTAAAACATTTGAAGTGACTTTGCCAAGTCCCTGTTGAGTGTTCTCGCTCATTGAGTGACTAATCACGACTGTTTTCAAAATTCATTTAAAATTAATAATATCCATGCATTTGTAATTGTTAGACAGAAGAGTGCAGCAGGCTAAGCTTCAGATTAGTAGACAAGGAATAGCCTAATCTGTCGATATTTCAGTTGGAACAGCCTTTCCATATCACGGCCCATTTCAATAGGATCGCCGACTCTTTGCGCAGTGGCAGAGGCCGCCCGCCCGTTACATCCGGGTTGGACCCGCGGATGCGATGACCTCACGGTGACAACTGCGGTCACTATCGGGCCGATCCCGCGCCGGCTCGTCGAGCGGACGGGGCGGGCCGGAAGGGTGGCCATCACCCCGGAGCAGCTCGGCTGTCTGCAGCTGGAACAGCCCTCCCCGTCCCAGTTGAGCTCCTCCTCGCCCGGTCCAAGGTCCCGACACCAGCCGCCGGACGGTCTATCGCCGCGCCGCGCCGTTACCCGTCACTGCCATGTGTCGTGCCGTGACGACCGCGCCGCGGGAGGCATCCCAAACAGTCGCCGTGCGACCCTGACTGACGGAGGGATGGCGCGGCACAGAGCCGATCCCATGGCCCGCCTCAGCTGCTGGCTCAGCGTGGAACAACAAACGACAGGCCACACTCGGGTCGCCCGGCACCCCGGCAGAGCCACGGTACACGACCCGCTGGACGTCAGAAAACATAGCCCGCCGAGCCGAGATACTGCAAATCGCAGCACTGCTGCCAGTGATCGATGCCAGTCGTATGTACATTCATGCCGTCTGCTCGATACTGCCATTGGTTATCTGAGCGGCCCCCGGAGCTGCGGCCGGCAGTGATGCAGGCTCGGGTGACGCGCCCTCGGTGCGGTGTCGCGGCGGGCTGTCTGACGAGAGACGGTGAGCTCATCCACACCCACCGCCCGGTGCCAGCGCCCAGCAGCCAGCCCTGCAGGCGCCGACGTCCCGCGCGTGACAGCAGCGCGGGGGCGGCCGGTGATTATCCCATCGGGACATGTTTGGTGAGAGGCCGTCACGTGTGCGCTCGGCCGGCGCGGCGTGACAGCGCTGCCCCCGGCGGGGGCGGGGCGCGGCCGGCGGGAGGCGCCGGCCCGGCCCGCTGCAGAGACAGCGGGCGGGACGGCAGCAGCTGCAGCCGCCGCCCGAGGGCGAGCTATTGCTGATAAACTGCTGCACGCAGTACGCACAGTCAGCATCAGTGGGAGTGCGCAGCGGCGCGGCGGCCGTATAAAAACGGTACTCGGTCGCTCGGGGGAACAGGGCGGCCGTTCAGCGGAGAGGCGGCCGAGGAGTCGGCTTGGCGGCACAGTGCCAGCGCCGGGCGGGCCGGGAACGCCATGTATGGAGCGAGGCCGGCCGATGACCGGCAGGCGGCACCTGTATGCTGGCAGTGGGAGGGGAGGGGAGACGGCCGGTTTGGCAGTGCGACTACACAGCTGAGCGGCCCGCCCCCTGACTGCGGACGCATAATGTAGCGCGGGACTGACGGGCCGGCACCATTTACCACCGAGCCTCCCTGTCAGCGGCCGGTGACAGGTCAGTGAAGGACCGACCAGTGTTGACGGACTGGAGCAGCCGACGGTGACAGGTGGACTGAGACCCGTGGTAGCCGCCGAGTCACATTCCCACACTGAACTCCGACAGCGAGCGAGGGAGGGGAGCGCCGGCCGACCCCTCCTCTCAGCAGTAATCACCTCAATCAGAGATGAATCCTTCGCACGCACCACGGCAGTGAGCCGCCGCTCCTTTTGCAGCCAGTTTCCTGAATCAGTACGGCACTGATCGCGGGACCAAGTCCCTCGCTGGGCAGGCCTCGTTCTCGCTGGATGACGCTCCGTCCGTCACTCCGTGGACACTGTTCCTCACTAAACGGCACTCTGTGGGTCACTGAGCCACATTCTGCTCCTCATTGCGTGGCACACGCACTCAGAAGTAGCCTGCTCCTCGCCAAATTGCGCTCTTTATCTCACTGAGTGACGTATCTGATCATCACTGAGCGGTACCCCTCACTGAGAATCACTCCATCCCTCACTCCGAACTCCCCACTCGGAGTGACGCCCCGTCCCTCACTGAGTCGCACACACGCGCTCGGCCGCTCCGCTCGACCGCACCAGTCGCTGCACGCGGCGCCGACACTGCACTGGAGACGCGGCGCGGCCGGCTGCCGCCCCTGGACCCGCGCTCGGCGGACAGGGCCGCTCAATTGGGCGCTGTCGACGTGCGGCTGCCGCGCTGTACGGAGCGGGCCAGCCGGCGGCGGCCGGCGGGCGGTCGCTAGTCTGACACAGCCGCTACTCCGACCCGCCGGCCCGCAACGCTCCACTGTCTGCGGTTAGTTGGGTCAGGCAGCCCACAACACCAATTTGCAGCTTCGCAGCTCGGTGTTTTATAATTTAATCCTCCCTTATTCATGGCCAATAAAATGTGACGGCAGACGCCGGGCGGAGCTGAGTTGGAATCGAGCACTGAGTGCAGCAGCTCGTTCCGGTGCCGTCCGGACCCACCCGGACGGGTGGTATGGTTTGGTCCGGGTACGGTCCGGTCCGGGAGACAACCGGACTGCAGCCTGTGACAGACCAACTGAATAAGGACAGACATTGGCCGCGGGTCGCTGCAGAATGGTAATGCTGCAGTGTGCAGACTGGTGACACTCAGATATGAGAGACAGGGCGTCCACTGACTCCACCCAGCGCGGTGCCACGCATGAAGTATTCAGTACAGTCTGTCTTAAAAGTACCGCGCAAAGTGACGGTGGATCCATCAAGCCTGACCGATGAAGGACTGCTAGATTTGAGTCACCGAAGCGATGAACATCCTCGTCCATTCCCCAAGGTCAATTGGTTCGGTGACTTTCAAATTATAGCAGGCCCTTCCTCGGTCAGGCTTGACGGATCCACCGTCACTTTGCGCGGTACTTTTAAGACAGACTGTACAGTCCGCCGCCCGTTGAGGTGTATGGGCGGCGGCCCGGCCGGCCGGTACGACCCGTCGGCCGCCGCGGCCGTCTGCCCAGCGCTCCGCCCGCCCCCGGTGAGAGGTCAAGGACGCTATCCTGCGCGGTCGCCGCCGCCGGCGCCGGGCCGTGATCAGTGAGTACGAGGGACCGGTACCACAAGGCCGCAGCTGTGCCGCCGGCGCCGGGCGCCGCCCAGCGCCTCGGCATAGTGACAGACGGAGGCGGCCGGCGAACCGCACTCACTCACAGTATTAAGAAGTTGGTCTCAGGCGACTACCGGGCCAATCGAATCGCAGTAAAACCAAAAGTTACTCATATGTCCGGTATTGGCCCAGACAGGCCGGCGGCCACCGTACGGCTGACCCACTGAGCTGAATGGACATGAATGGACCACTGAATAGCTCGCGAATCGTGGGTGACCAGTGATCCTCCAAAGGACGACGGTAAAAGCGGTGACGTAAAAATCAGCCTTTACCCAACTAGGAAAATTACATACGTTTTCCTATCGCTCACAATAATCAGACTTGGGAAAACCGGTCCATTGCCAGCCCAGCAACTGGTTGCCTTAACCCTCGCGGGCCCGGGGGGGGGGCGTTTTTCGCCCCCCCCCCCTGGCGAATATTTGCGATAACTCCCGAACGCTTAGGGATAGGAAGGCGAAACTTTCAGTACCTTTTCTCCCATCAATTTGACATCTTCTGAAGTAAAAAATTTGGACCTAGCCCCCTTGATGACGTCACAAGGTCCATTTTTCTAGACCCCTGCACGGCAAAAATCGGCGTCACAGACGCAAACTTCAAATAGCTGCTAAAAATAGAGTTTTAGAGATAAAGACAAATTACGAGCACGGCTGTGTAGCGTTTTACCTAGAGAAAAATAGAAAAATAGTTTTGGTGACCTGAGGTCAGAGGTCAGGTCAACGACCCCGAAATGTGGTTTTAGTTTTTCGCAAATAACTTCGACAAAATGGTCCTAGAGCTACGGCAGTGGTACCATCGCATTCGCCTTGTCAAGCCGCGTCGAATGATATATATTTTGTTCGGAAAAGGTCAAATTTCATGTTGACCTCATGTGACCTCGAATGACCTCTGGTTGACCTTGACACATGAAAGGTCGTTTATGATGGATTTGTACCCGCTGATCACGAATCTGGCATTTATTTTCCTCTAAGCCTTCATTTAGAGCTTCCGGATGGCAAAATTGTCTTATTTATTATTACTAACTTGAATCAGTGAAATAGCCTCTAGCAGGGATACTCTTCTGTGACCTTGACCTTTGAGTAGCCTTGTATCGTAAGATGAACCACAAATAGGGAACTGATAAGCCTCAAAACATTACAAAACATATTGGAAGTTAGCACGCAAGATGTGCGAAAAAGTGCAAAGTTTGAGGTCAATTTTGAGCGTGACCTTGACCTTGACCTTTGATTTGGAGCACATTTTCAGAATCCTCAGATTCTCTTCTTTCGTTTGACACCCAATTTTGCCGGTTTGATGCAGCCTGCCGTCCTCTAGAAGGCTTACTTTGAGATCACTACACATGTGCCGGTTTTGGCCTTTGACCTTGACCTCTGACCTTGAAAATTGACCTGAGGTCAAAAATTTTAGGTGCATTAGAATCGTCTCGTAAGGACCTTTCGTTTGGTATCGCTTTTGTTTCCGTAGCTCCCTTATTTACGGAGTTAGACAGGGGGGGGGGCGAAAAACGCCCCCCCCCCCGGGCTGCGGTGGTTGGGATTAGTTACCCCCCGGGCCCGGCCGGGTTAAATAGCAAGCGGCTAGTAACAGGCTATAATGATGAGCTGAATAACGACTGAACATCAGTGACTGCCTGTCCGGGCTCCGGTCCAATACGCTACCACCCTAGACTGGCCAACAACCCAAGCCTCTGAGGCGTGTCATGTACCCAATGCGATCAAGCAGTAACATTTAAAGCCCGTGAAAGCCGATGGACACAACAGAGCCCCATGTATCGTGAATTATGGCACCATGCCCATTGCCATCCCGATAAAACCAGCACAACACAGGTGCAACGACCCCAGAAAGACAGCGGACGGACGGTGGACGGACGGTGGACGGATAAATGACGGACGATTGACGGACGGTGGACGGACGGTGGACGGATAAATGACGGACGATTGACGGACGGTGGACAGACGAATGACGGGACGATGGACGGACGGTGGACGGACGGTGGACGGAAGATTTACGGACGATGGACGGACCAGTGACGGGACGACGGACGGACGGACGGTGGACGGACAGTGGATAGACGGTAAAGAAACGACGAATGGTGGAAGACGACAGACGAGCCCACCCTGTGTGTAGCCAGGAAACTGAGACTGCCCCTGTGTGAAGGCACTTCACAGAGTACGCCCCGGGACCGATGCAGTGCACATTGGGACAGCTTGAGCTAACCCTGTGTGTGTAGGCAATGGACGGCCCTGTATGTAGGCAGACTGCTGGCAGCGATCTTCGTGTAAGTAGACAGCTGAGATTGATATTGTGTGTAGGCAGACAATCACAGCCGGCCCTGGGTATAGGCACTAGGCAATGGACCTTCATGTATGTAAGCAAACAGCTTATCTTTAGCTGACACTGTCAGTAGATATGAAGTCGACCAATTTCATTCAGTACGTTCGTCAGTCCAGAACCGCATTTGTGAAGTAGCAATCGTGATTCTCTGAAGCTTTCACGTAAATGTACACCAGAAGCCAGGCGTTAGATACAAAGATGGTCTACTGTGTCACTCAGGCAGCCAGCAAGCTTTGCTCAGACGTGTTTGTTTGATAAAAATGTGGCATCTAACAGCTTTCCCAAAGTGAAGAAGCACCGATGACCGAACCCCTTCAAGGTCTCGAGTGAAATAACCTCGTATTATAAAGCGCTCTCTAAAAAATAGTTATAAGTTGTTACGGTGAAGCAACTCTTGGCGTCTATAGGCTTCGGGCATTTGCAATTTACAAACAATCTCAAGTGTCGCAGAAACGATGACGGTGAGAAGGAAATCGATCGTGTTCAATTACAGAAACTTCTATCCTACAAATGTCTGTTACGTGGTACATCTTCGTCTAAAACCCCAAAGCCCTACCATAAAGTACAATTTAAGATTGACAAAACATAAGCAAACAAGTTTCATCCAATGAAACCCCGTCTCGATAGCACCAGTAGCACTTATATGCAGCATCCGCTATACACTTTTTGCATGATCTGTGCATATAACAGCATACAACTTCATTGTGACGCTTTGGTACAGTGAATGCTACCAGTCAAGAGGTAGTCTGAGCGTGAGCGTGTCAGTATCTACTCGTATGCGCACTGCAGTGTCTGTGTGGGGCCGGGGTATACCGGGTATGTGTCAGCGGCTTTACGCCAGGACAACCCTCAGAGGAAGCGTGAGGCGGAGCACGATCACGCTGCTAAATGCAGACTACGTGACACGATCGCAAGAATTTGTGATTTATCTGTGAGTATGGCACAGCCAGCGATTGTTAAAAGTGAACCAGTGACTGTGAGCCGGTGATATCAATAATTCACTAAAACCAATGACGTAAGACGAGTGACTGTAGGCCAGTGATTGTGAACCAGTAATTGTGAACCATTCACTGTGAACCAGTAATAGATGTGTGGTGACTGGGAGAGACCAGCCGGCCGTCCGGCGAACTGACCTGCACCTTGTCGGTCACCTCCATCCAGCGGGTATTGAGCTCGGACATCATACTGCTGACGCTCTGCTCACACTGAGTGAGCGCCAGCTGGGCGGCTGTCTGCTGGGCAGCGGCCAGCTGCGAGCGGCGCTCCGGCAGCTGCCGCTCCAGCTCCTGAGGGCAGATAACGGCGGTCAGACTAGCGGTGCGGGGCACATCAGAGCAGAGGGCGACGGCGGTACTGTGAGGAGACAAGTAGTCAGAGGTAGGGCGTGAAGCTATCAGAAATGGAAAAACAGCCGCCGGAGATGACTCGGCGGCAGTCAGAGAGAAAAGTGGGAAAAAGAGGCGGAAAATTACCGGATATGCAATCCGTTGGGCTAGAATACGCTTTTGTAATTCGTAGACACGATTTGTGTCAGAATACGGGTAAGCATCCATTCTGCGGCAATACATCTGGCGTTAGGCGCTACACCAGATCCGGGGGAGGCGGGCTTCTGACCTGCGCCTTGCCGCTGTCCTCAGCCGCCTTCTCGGCGTCCTCCAGCCACTTGTCCAGGTCGCTCAGGTCCGACTCGAAGCTGGCCAGACGCGCATCGCTCGCCTCCTGCTTCTCCTGTAGGACAACGAAAGGGCCAGTCAAACGACGTGTCACCAAACATCCGCAACGGTGACCACAGGCTGAATCACTCCGTAATTAGAAGGGCAGTCAGGTTCCTGGCGACTGAGGCGGCGGGAAGACAGTCGCAACGCCTGAAAATAAGCCGCTCTTTCGATTGGAGCGCGGATAAAATAAGCAAGGGAAAACAAGAACAAAGAAATACTAGCCCTCCGCCCCGCCGCCTCTCAGCCGTAACCCTCACCTGCACTAGCCGGGCCCGGTCGGCCAGTCGCGTCTGCAGCCGCCGCCAGCCGTCCCGTGCCTCGGCCAGCCTCCGCTGCAGGGCCGGCGCCGCCGCATCCGCCTCGCCGAGCGCGGCCAGCGCCGTCTGGCGGCGTGACGCCTCCTCCGACAGCCGGCGGCAGGCGTCCGCCTCGTCCTGCCAGCGGCACTGGTCGCCGCGCGCCTCGGCCGCGTCCAGCTCGGCGGCCGCCTCAGTCAGCCACTGCTCCAGCGGCGGCAGACGGCGGGCGGCGCGCAGACGAGCCTCCAGCGCACACTTGGTCTCCGGCACGCGGCAGCCGAGCTGCGGGGGAGAGACGACAGTCACTGGGTCTGTTTCGGACAGTCGCACGGGTACGCAACAGCTCAAAGAAAACTACGGAAAGCGCCTAACCATGGGTACCTGTCCCTTTGAATTAAACGGACACGCAACAGCTTCAACAAAACAATGGATTACATACGTATCACCGTGGCTAGTCCCCTAGAGCTAACGACAGGCCCAGCCTCAACCAACCGACTCCACCCGACAGGAAAGGGAGTGTACGCACCTGATTGTAGAGCGCCTTGAGCGAGTCGAGCCGCTCAGTGAGCTGCTGCGGCTGGTCGCACGCGCCGTCCTCCACCACCTTCCGGCCCGTGCGGATCACGTACTCGACCTCGGACTTGAGCTCGGCCAGACCCTGGTACAGACGCTGGCGGAATAAAGACAGACACAGTGAGCAAGTGGAAAACACACACACACAGTCAGACAGTGAACAGACAGGCGCTGATTGCATACACAATACGCATGCATACACAGAAAAAGGAATACGCAACGGTATAGGTGTGCCTGTGGTGTGTGTCTGATGGTGTCAGTGTCTAGCTGGTCCCATTCAGTGGGTGAATCTGTGTCAGTGTCAGTTACATATCAGTGCATCAGTGCGCCCGTGTGTCAGTGTGTCAGTGTGTCAGGGTGTCAGTGTGTCAGTGTCTGTGTTCAGACTCACCAAACAGCTGTCCATCTGCGCCTGGATGCCTTCGGGCCGGTCAGTGTTACTGTCAGTGTAGGTACTCTGTGTCAGTGTGTCAGTGTGTCAGTGTGTCAGTGTCCTGTGTCACACTCACCAGACAGCTGTCCATCTGCGCCTGGATGCCCTCGGGCCGGTCCGTCTCTTTCTCAGCCTCGCCGGCCTGGCGCTGCGCCTCTGCCAGCCGCTCGGCCACCGCCGACAGACGCGGCTCGAAGTCGGCCGGCGTCTGGAACTTGACGTACTCGGAGCGCACCTCGCCGTACGTACTCTGTGGAGGATGGCGGAGGGGTCGGGTAACGGGAGTGGCGCTCACGGAGAAAACATATGGTACTGCACAGGTGGGCTACTCCACAGGTGATGTGCAACACTGCTGCCTCACGGCCTCTAGCCGAAGTAGCGAACCATACCACTCAGGCTCGTGCCAGCAGCAAACCATAGTTGCAGCTTCAAAAGCAAGGCGATGTGCGCGCCGCGGCCCTTCCTAGTCCATCTAGCCTCACTTGGCGTTCTCCCTTACTCTCTCCACCTCCACTTCCCAACCTCTCTCACCTGCAGGACTCCCAGCTGCTCCTGCAGTCTCGCGGCCGCGTTCTCCCTGCCCTCTGCCAGGTAGCGGGCTGCCTGTTCAGAAAGCTGACGCAGCAGTCGCTCGGCGGTACCGAAATCGGCCGACAGCTCCTGGACGCCAGCATATAGACAAGTGATCAGAAACAGGAATGCGGCAGTTTGTCAACACATAGGGACGCGGTCTTAGTCACAACTAGTTTTGATCTGGCAGCCACATCGACGAGTGTCAGCGAACGGACACGGAGGGCGCACTCACGGCAATACAGACGGGGTTACACGGCCCAAAAATGGCCCAAAACACACCTAAAAAGCAGTACTGATTAACCCTATTAGTGGCAGGGGGGGTTGTTTTCATCGACCTCTCAGGTTTTTCGGGAATATCTCCGAAACCGCTGAAGCTACGATGCTGAAATTTTCTGACTTTTCCTAAAACTAAATTGGGCACATTCCCTGAAAATTTCAAGTTCATAACTTTACCAGGGGCGGCTCCAGAGCACTGGGAATTGGGGGGTCCTATTCGTGAAGCGAGTCATTTGGACGAAGATCACGATGCTGATGTATTATAACTGTATGCACCAGTTTTACGAACAGTGAATGAAAGGTATCATGTGATAACATATACAAAGTTATTGTGCATCCTCTTTTGACACGTTTTTGCTATAATAGGCGGATCTAGGCGTCCAAAAAGGGGGGTTATGTTTTACCTCCCAACATAGGTGCCCTGACACCGCCTATGCATGACCAATACAATTGCAGTCGTTCTCTCATAAGAAAATTGTAACATAACAAGACCATTACCTCCCTTTTTAGAAACAGTACCAACAAAAACCTTATTTACTATACTTTTTGTGTACCCCCAATCTCAATGATCTGTATCCGCCTATGATTTTTGAAAATGCATATTTTTAGGATCCATGTGAATTCCTGGTTCATTCTCTATCGATCGGCAAAAGTTGCGTTAACATTGGTTCAAAAACCTGGCCGTGATAAACAGTCTAAAATGTATCTGCAATTTGCCCGTTTTTACCCCCCTCTACCGCCCCTAGGGTACCGCCCTCCATAGTTTTTTTTCGCGATAGCTCCGAATGCCACGGCGATACAGAGATGAAGCTTAGCATACCTGAATTTTGATTCAAGCCGGATCTTTTGACACCAACCGCGATTTTCGGGTCATTTCAGGTCATCGACTTTTGACGTCATAAGCGAACCTTTGCCACACTGGGGTCTGCGTATAACGCGCTCTATTGGGGGGAGGGGGCTCTTCATTGCCCCCCTACTAACTCCGAAACTACTGGGCCGATTGTCAAAATTCAAACAGCGTCTGATAGCCCTGGAAAAACTGTCGAACGAAACCTAATTTCATTGACCTCGAGGTCACCGGTGACGTCACAGTTCAGTTCGAATTTTTTGACATTTTTTATTTTTATTTTTTAGAAATGTAGATCACGTTGAGCGAAATCGAATGCCGTTTGAATTTTGAAAATCGGCCCGTTAGATCTCGAGATATCAGAGGGGGGTCGTAAACAGCCCCCCACCCTGCCACTAATACGGGTAGCCAGGAGCCTGCCACTAATAGGGTTAAGTCACTCACAGCCTACGCGGAGAGTCGTCAAAGCGCCTCAGCAAAGAAAGATATCATGTCAGCGGAAAGACATCGCTCAGTCGCAGCTTGGTGGGCGGCTAAGTAGCCGTTTACACTGAGCTCACATGAACAAATGCAAAAAGCATGGTGGCAGTCTGGAGAGATAACGACTGGTATAATAGGTAGCTACTAAGAAGTCTCATATGATGCCCCGGAATCAGCTGATAATAGCAGCGACACATCAAGGCGTTGATAGGTGCAAGACCCCACTGACATTGTGTACCCATGAAGATGTTATCCATCAGAAAACCTAATAATGCAATGATGGGCAATAAAAAGTAAAACAATACGAAAAGAATCACCTAAAGCAATTACTAACGATGATGGGAAAGTATCCAAGTCAGCTTACCGCAAAGCCGAGTGTGAAACAAAATACAAAAGTGAAGTCAACAGCAAAAGTAGTCAAAAAGACTAAAGTAACGGCCCCAATAGTCGCATAGATCCACAATGTCCTAGTCCGACATATGTAAGGTGGCCACCTAAGCACCTGAGCAAAGCCGGAGCTTGCACTGAAAGATACATCTCAACAGTGATATCAGTGCATCGACTGAAGACTCACTACCCTCGTCCACTCGAAAAAAAGATAAAATAGGTCGAAAAACATAAAACAATGCCAAACAATGCAATGCAAAGGCCATTTTCAGTGCAAGTTGCTTATCGTTATATAAAACAGCTAACTGACCTGCAAGAAATGTGATGAAGCTAAATCTCTCATGCAGTAGATCAAAAGTCATGCAAATGAAAACACCATAGAGCATCAAGCAAAAAGTACAGCTTGTTACGAAGCGTTTGGAGTGCAGACGAGCAGGTTTGAGAGGAGCGTTGCGCTGCGGTGGTCAGCCGACGCTTGGTCGGTGGAGCTCAGAGGCCCAGCAGTCGGGGAGGACCCAGGGTCACAGTCACGCGGTGACTACACTACATCGCACGGCAAATGGTGGTCCACAGGTGTTCGATAGAGTGGGCCCACCGACGGACGAGGGTCACACCACACGGTAAAGTCCGTGGTCCTATCGCCTAGGGGAACACAGCATCAGCCATCCCGCAGCAAAACTGATACAAACCTCCTCGCTGCTCAAAATGCCAGCACAGCATTCCCCCAGCGGAGAAAATAGACCTATTGGAAGCCAGCTAACAGCATTACCCCGCTTTTCATAAAGAGTTTTCACTAATTCTCAATAACAAAACTTGACGATGGAATATCTAGTAGCAGCTCTCCCCAGCTTCCAGCAGCTCTTCCCAATCCAACAGCCTTCAATAGCCCCTCGGGTGATGCAGCCATCCAGCCGCCCGGCCTATGCAAGTCTTCCCGACCCAATATCGTAAGTGTCTGCACGATCCTAAATCCAACAGACGTATGCCAAGTACTTATACCCAGTGTGAGCCATCACAGTAAGATAAGCGTTAGATTATTGCTGAAGCCCCGGAGCGGACCCCACACTCAGTCGTCGACCAGTGCCGCCGCGCCCATCCCCCGGTGTCACTGTGTCGCCTGTAGATGACTCAGTGATCGCTCCACTCCCTCCTGGTCCGCCGAGCCGTACCTCGGCCTCGGAGTCGGGCAGCGGTCCGGCCTGCCGGGCGGCCAGCAGGCGCCGGATGCCGGACAGCCACTCCAGCGTCTCCGAGAGCTGACGCTCGTGGCGCTGCGCGGCGCCCAGGTCGTCGGCGAGCGCGCCGCGCCGCTCCGCCGCCTGCCGGCCGAGCCGCCGCACCGCTCAGCACACGGGCCGCCCGCCGCGCCGCACCACCCGCACCCACAGATAGCACACACAGCGGAGAGAGAGGCAGAGCTACATAGTGCACCGATAGAAATACTGGGAGACACAGCGTCAGCCGGCGCCAGAATTACCGCAGAATTATTTAGAGCTTATCAGAGAACAACAATTAGGCAGCTAATAGAACGCAGTCGAGAGATTGAAATAGTCAGCGAGTGAGCGTTACATTGGTGAGGCATGGTTAGTACCTGCACATTGCACACGGACCGCACCACCTAGTGGTTTCGAGTTAAACGGTTGTTAGGTTTAAGACTATCATGCCATTTAGTAGTAGCGAGGCAAAGGAGCAGGCTGCGCAGTTGCGCACTGCTTTCCCTTCCGTAATTGCTTCCCTTTTTCAAAGTAATACTTCATAAAAAATGAATGCTGAAGAGTAAAGTAGGTTCGTGCTTAAAACTACATTGACAATATCACAGATAACAGTAGTACTACTGTTATCTGTGACAATATCAAAGCTCTAGAACAAAATGTGACAGCTAACTTTTCCTTAAAAAAAAAAATAATAATAATAATAAGATGTTAGTCAGCCAGAATACCCAAACTGTCTAAAATTATTTCAACGGCAACATATGCCAAGACGTGCCGCACCCAGAATATCTTCAGCACAATACAAAAATTGTGACTAGCAGTCACATCAAACGTAAAATGCCGCGACTCTCAGTTTTACGCGTATCCAAACAACGCGAGTCGAGTCTCATTCACTCGCTGCCAACATAAAGCCCGGAAAAATAGCTACGAAAACAAAACTGACGTCCCGACAAACACAAAACGAAGCACCAGGCAAGCGTTATCTGTCAGCAAGCAGATCTCCGGCTAGCCGGGGCCGGTGCGTGCAGCCTACGCAGGCGGTAGCGTCTGTATATACAATATACATGGGTGAGGAGGTGAGCGGACAATGCCGCAACAGGGTGAGTAGGGTCATCGGGTGACAGGTGCAAAGGGAGGAGAGCGGATGGGTACCGCCACTGGGGGAAGGAAGGCGACGGGGCGTTGCCATTTGGGTAAGAAAGCGGACGTGCCCCATCACTACGGAAAGGTCGGCGGCCGGGCGCTGAGGTAAGAAACCGATGGGCGCCGCCATTAGGGGAGATCAGTAGAAGGACGCCGTCCCTGAGGAAAGGAATGAGGACGGTTCCTGGAGGAAGGTCGGCAGACAGAGTGCCGCCGCCCCGACTGACCGTCTCGCTGAACTGCTGCCAGCGGTGCACGATGTTGTCCCGGTCGGTCTGCACCTCGTCCCGGAGCACACTGGCCGCCGTCAGCTGCTCGGCCAGCGTCTGGATCTGAGGGATCCGCTCGGCCGGGTGGTTGTGCAGATACGTCTCCAGTTCCTGAGACACGGGGGAGCGGTTACAAGGGGAACCGACCAGCCGCTGAGCGATACACGGCGGACGGAGTCCCAGCACAGCGCAGATGTGACACAACCACTGAGCGCGTGGCTATGGCCATGCGATGTTACTGGCCAATGACGCAGGCGTTAGTCGCGATAAGGTGCAGCAATAAGCTCCAAACAGTTAGCTTCGTAATAAATCAAGAAGCGCAAATCTTAGGAGCCCCTGCATACAACAGCGTTCCCTTTTTCCCTTCCCACATCACACATACACAGCCGATAGGGGCCATCTACATGTCAGTCTACTCATCCCGGCGTTCTCGTTCCCCGAGCACCCTCCCCTTCCTTCCTCCGGCCGTCCTTACGTCCAGCTCAGCACTGATCTCCTCGGCGTCAGCGGCCAGGCGCGGCGAGCGGGCCAGCTTCTTCTCCAGCCGGTCCAGCCAGCTGTTCTCGGCGAAGGTCAGCTCTGCCAGAGCGGGCACATGCAGCGCTAACTCCCGGCGCTCGAGCCACTACTACGGGAGGGGCGGCGGCGCGGGCGGCGCGGCGTGGCGCGGGCGGCACGGGGCGGCACATGCCGGTCGCCGGGCCAGCTCGGCGTTCGGGAGAGCAGGCGCCAGCCGCACTATTATAACATGCCCGGGTGCACGCGACAGTTGGCTGCGTAACGGTAGGATGTGCAGAACGAACGTACAGATGTTGATGCGTAGCAAATAATTGTAGCAAAAGTGATTGATACAAAATGACATTGCTTGGATGGGTTATGAAAAGGCATATAAGTCCGTTAAGAAATGAATCGGGACTCGGGAGTTCAGGACTGATTAAAGAACTTTGCACGGCAGCACCAGGCAAAAAAAAATGGCCCGGTGGGATCTTAATCCTCGCCCGCACATGCCATTTTCCCATCCTAGAACGCACATGGGGGGGGGGGGTGGTTGCCACCCCCCCCCCCCGCGCCATTTCGTTCCTGTTGGAGATAGAGCTTAGCGGTAAAGACCAAAAAGATTCTTTGGGAAGAGACGAATCCAATGATACCCAGTTTTACCTTCTCAGGTCAGTCATTGACCTTCCAGGTCAGGTCAAACTAAAAAATGTTGCTGTTTCTGGTCACCGTTGGATATCAAGTGCGCTGCTTATCAAATACCGATGACGATGCTGTTTTCTGGTGCCAAGCCAGCTAGAACCTCTTTGTCACACTACCCGACCAGAATTTTGCTGCTGAGGTCATTTCAGGTCAAGTTAGGTCAAGGTCAATTATATGTGTTTGTATGTCTGTGTGTGTCTGTGTGTATACTGATGTGTGCACCGATTGTTTTTGGGTCCATATTGCATGAAATCATGATCTGAGAAGCTTTTACCAAAAATGCAGTCAAAAAACTTCAAAAAAAAAAGTAAATTCAGCTTGCCTAAAACGCAATTATCTTAGATGACCTAGGTTGACCTTGACCCTGACCTTGACCCCTGTACATCGTCGAACAACATGTTCCATGATAGGTGGGAGGTAAGACTGGCAAAAAAGGCCGAAATCAGGGTGTCAAAAGCTCACAAGGCCCATGGCAAACGCAAGATGTTGAGAATTGGCCATTTGGGTCATGACATGACCTGAAAAACAAGGTCATATCTCCGAAACTAAAAATCACAGAAACTTGAAATTTTCAGTGGACATCAAGAAAGGATAGACGAGCAGCTATACGAAAAATCGGCCTTCTAGCTCTAAAAATGTTGAGTGCAGAGCAGAAAGACTACCTGGGGGGGGGGGTGGCAACCACCCCCCCCCCCCCCATGTGCGGGCGAGGGTTAAGTGAAATTTCAATTAAATTCAGCAGCCGGTCCTGGTTCTATTTTTGTACTGCGTGAACTGGATAAGGATTAAAGGTCGACAATATATTCAGTGTCGTTTCCGAAATGCCTAATAATTGTGGGATTCTAAACAACCATACGAGCGAGCACCATAAAAAGCAACAGGTATTTAAAGTGGAACATCAGCTAGCGATAACACCTAAAACGTAAGTAAGCTTCAAACGACCATGAACCAACTCAAAAGCTTTACCATATACAAGCCTAACATAATAATAAATGTAACGAGGAAAATGCCCGTCGAATGAGCAGCCATTCCCATTAAACTAAAGACAATCATTCTCCACCAGAACGACTAAGATAGCAACCATATTATAGCTAGCCAGCTCGCTAGCAAGCTAGCAATACGCTATAGCAGTGCGACAGCGAGGTGCGAGGGTCATAGTCACTCACTCTTGAACTGATCGTAGTTTGCGATGGCCTGGTCGCAGCGCTCGGCACGGGCGGTGAGCTGGGTGCTGAGCTCGAGCCAGCGTTGGCAGGCGGCGCCGGCGGCAGCGTCCGCTGTGGGATGGAGAGGGGTGGACGGTCAAAGGCCAGCACAACGGCACACATTGCCTCTCTCCCTCCATATCGGTCGAATCAGAGCCGCCGGGAGCCGCCGGTACATTGGTAGATGACACCCAAGGAGCCTGTTTGCTGAGACACTCACCGAGTGTGAGAGATCTAACCATGTCCTTGCTAACAGAAAAAGAACACTATCCGGCCTGTCGAGGCGCATACACTGACCCTGTTTGCTGAGCTGCTCGTGGCGGGCCTGTCCCTCCAGCAGTCGCGCAGACAGCTTGGTCAGCAGCTGTCGCAGGTCGTTCAGCTGGCCCGGCGTGGTGATGGCCGTATCGGCTGGCAGCTGAGACTCCACCTCGGATACCAGCTCGGACAGCATGCGAGTCTGCTCCGCCACCTGCCGCCACAAGCCAGGCGGTGTGGTCACAGTCACAAAGGGTCACGCACTGTCACAGGCTCCCATCTCCATGAACTACAAGACAACGCCGCACTAACAATGCGATCACACCAAGATTATATACACACAGAGCAGCCAGACGATCAGACTCCTATGCAGTACAAAGCAAGTTTCACAGCCCTGACGTACCTGTTTACAGTCGTCCACGGCCTTCTCGATGCGCTGGGCCCGCTCTCTGGCGCGCCGCTCGGCGGTGTCCAGCTGCTCGGTCAGCCGCCGGCTGCGCTCCGTCAGGTGCTGGCGCAGCTCCGGGGCGGCAGAGGTGCGCAGCCGGTCACCGGTGCGCAGCACGCCCTCCAGCGTGGTGCGCAGGGAGCACGTGTCGCGCAGCAGGCCCTGCGCAGATGGTCGAGGGAGCAGTCGGAATCGGCGGTCAGAGCCAGGCCTATCTCGTAGACCCCAGCTCTATCAGAGCAACCAGCCAGCGGCTCCAAACCCACCAGTCTCGTCAGATCCACAGTAATCAGGATTCCATCCGCCCCTTTAGACCCCAGACCACAAGCTTATCAGAATAATCTACACTAGATCAAGTCCCGTTAGACCAGCCGAAAGGCACCATCAACACCTTATCCCCGACCCCCGACCCCTGATCGGGGTTTGTCTCATCCGAGAGCGCCGCCTGCTTACGTCGCTCTGTTCCATTTGGGCGGTGAGCGCAGCGGCGTCCCCCTCGGCGGCCGGCTCGGAGAGCAGATCCTCCACCTCTCTCAGCCAGCTCTCCACGCCGTCACCCTCCGTCTGGTACTGGTACGAGTCGAAAATGGCTGCAAAACGAGAGATTGGACAGGGACGGGCAACGTTAGAGACGAGACATACTGCTGCACTCAGGGCGGAATACTGCTGCACTCGTGAAGCCGAGCAGCACATTGCAGGTAAAGCAGCTGACTCAGGATGACTATGAGGGAATGAACGAGTGATCCGCCATACTCCATTGTGAAGAGGTGACTGCGTCCAAATGTGACTTTGACCCAATGTGACCGTGTGACCTCCGTCCCGGTAAATTCTTGGATTCAGGATGTTCCAGTGTGAGCGCGTGATAGAATATGTGACCGTGTTCCAGTATTACCGTGTTTCAGTAGGACCGTTACCACACCATTCTCCGGTGTTCACGTGTTCCTCGTTAATGTTCGAGTGTTCCTGTTTGCCTCAGTCTACTGCAACGTTCCAGTGCCTCTCACCCTGTTCCAGTTTGGCCATGCGGTCGGTAAGCAGCGCCCCGGCGGCGCCCCAGCGCTGGTTCAGCTCGTCCAGCTGGCCCCGCAGCTCGGCGTCGCCGGCACTAATCAGCTCCTGGCCGCTCGAGTTGACAAAGTCCAGGCTGGCCTGCTGGGTGTCCATCTCCGACTGTAGCTCCTGGAGCACACAAACCAAGCGGTGGCTGGAGTCACAGGCTCGCCGTGGGACTTGGTGTTTAACCCGGCCGGGCCCGGGGGGTAATCCCAACCACCGCAGCCCGGGGGGCCGGGGGGGGGCGTTTTTCGCCCCCCCCCCCCTGTCTAACTCCGTAAACAAGGGAGCTACGGAAACAAAAGCGATGCCAAACGAAAGGTCCTTACGAGACGATTCTAAAGCACCTAAAATTTTTGACCTCAGGTCAATTTTCAAGGTCAGAGGTCAGGGTCAAAGGCAAAAACCGGCACATGTGTAGTGATCTCAAAGTAAGCCTTCTAGAGGACGGCAGGCGGCATCAAACCGGTAAAATTGGGTGTCAAACGAAAGAAGAGAATCTGAGGATTCCGAAAATGTGCTCAAAATCAAAGTTCAAGGTCAAGGTCACGCTCAAAATTGACCTCAAACTTGGCACTTTTTCGCACATCTTACGTGCTAACTTTCAAGATGTTTTTAAATGTTTTGAGGCTCATCAGTTCTCTATTTGTGGTTCCTCTTACGATACAAGGCTGCTCAAAGGTCAAGGTCACTAAAGAGTATCCCTGCTAGAGGCTATTTCACTAATTCAAGTTAGTAATAATAAATAAGACAATTTTGCCATCCGGAAGCTCTAAATGAAGGCTTAGAGGAAAATAGATGCCAGATTCGTGATCAGCGGGTACAAATCCATCATAAAAGACCTTTCATGTGTCAAGGTCAACCAGAGGTCATTCGAGGTCACATGAGGTCAACATAAAACTTGACCTTTTCCGAACAAAATATATATCATTCGACGCGGCTTGACAAGGCGAAGGCGATGGTACCACTGCCGTAGCTCTAGGACCATTTTTGTCGAAGTTATTTGCGAAAAACTAAAACCACATTTCGGGGTCGTTGACCTGACCTCTGACCTCAGGTCACCAAAACTATTTTTCTATTTTTCTCTAGGTCAAACGCTACATCACCGTGCTCGTAATTTGTCTTTATCTCTAAAACTCTATTTTTAGCAGCTATTTGAAGTTTGCGTCTGTGACGCCGAAGTTTGCCGTGCATGGGTCTAGTCTAGAAAAATGGACCTTGTGACGTGATCAAGGGGGCTAGGTCCAAATTTTTTACTTCAGAAGATGTCAAATTAATGGGAGAAAAGGTACTGAAAGTTTCGCTTTCCTATCCCTAAGCGTTCGGGAGCTATCGCAAATATTCGCCAGGGGGGGGGGGCGAAAAACGCCCCCCCCCGGGCCCGCGAGGGTTAAGTCAATCACAGAAAGACAGCGACAAGGTAAAAGTAACGGCTTTCAGTGGTTTCAGATTAGAGGTAACCATACACCTGTTGAGTAACAGCTCGGTCTCCTTTTCAAAACTATCACTGTCAAGCGACTTCGTACCTCAGCTTGTACCCGTCGAGCTGAATCTCTGGCTCGCTGGTCCCTGAGTCCTGACTCACCTTATACCTGTCGAGCTGGGTCTCCATCTCCGCAGCAGCGCGCACCACGAACGGCTCGCCGAGCAGGGCGTCGTGCAGCTCTGCCACCCAGCCGGAGAGGGCCGCCACGGCCTCCAGGAAGGCGGCCGGCCGCTCCGGCTGCGTGTTGCTCACCTCCGTCTCCAACTCCGTGATCCTGGCGGCGAGGACACCAAAACATGTTAAGTTACTGCGGCGGGAGTCACAGGACATACAGACGCGTATGGGATACTCGTTTATCAGTGTCTTCAACTTAACATCAGCATTTCCAAAGTATTTCTGGAGGTAGGAGTTTTTCCGAAACGCGCTGCGTCGGTGATTCTCCCTCAGCTTGCACTCACTTGTTCATCACCGTCTCCCACTTTTGCAGGAAGACGTCCACGTCGGCCTCGACCTGTTCCTCGTCGCCCTGGCCCAGGCTGATCAGGTCCTTGGCCTTGTTGGCCATGGCCGTGACACGCTCCTCGTCCCGCTGCATCTGCTCCAGGCGCTCCTGTGATGGATAAAGCGTCAACTATCCACGCCAGACTGAGCTATGCCGATCTGCGTCACCGCCCGTGGCCCTCACAACCCAGCAAAAACAGCTGCGAAAACTTCACAAATCATGAAACTTGTTGAAGGTCGAGCAACCCTCATAAAATGTCGTATCTGTACCTGTACTCGAAAAGGGAAATGCGGCCATATGATCTTTTTGCTTTGTTTATGTCCAGCAATATGGTGTGAGTGAAATGCAAGTAAGTGACAACCAAACTGAACAAAGCAGTCAGCCGTCTGCACGCTAGTAAAATGTCTCGTAGCGCGGTGAGAATGCAGAGCACCAGCCGCTGTCTAGTGTCTACTGAGTGCCGACCTGCGGCGAGTGGGGTCATGCTGGAGACGGGGCGGGGACGGTCGGGTCGGGACGGCGCTGAGCTCACCTTGCAGGCGGCCAGCACGGCCATGCGGCCGGCGGGCCGCGGCCGGACGCCCTCCACCCAGGCCAGGTGCTGATCCACCAGGCCGCCCAGTTGGCCCAGCTCCTCGTAGAAGGCCGCCTCGTCCAGCAGGTACTCGGCGCGGTCCCGCCGCTCGGCCACCAGCCGGCGCACGTCCTGGTAGTCGGCCTCGACGCGCTCCACCTTGCGCAGCACGTCGTCGCGCTCGCCGCGCTGCTGGAAGCCGCGGCAGAGCCGGGCCGCCAGTCGGCGCACCTCCTCCACGTCCGGCTGATGCGCCTCCACCTCGCGCCACACCTGGTTCAGCTCGGACAGCGCCGCCGCCTGGTCACCGCCGCCGCTCAGCGCGCGCTCGGTCCGCTCGCGCGCCGCTAGCGACCACTGGGAGAAGTCGTGCAGCGCCGTCATGAAGTCGTTGTGCGCGTTGGCCGACTGGACGCGGCGTCTCTTGGCGCCGCCCGGCGCGCCGCTCACGTCATCCGTCGAGGAGGCGACGCGCGGCCGCACGTTCATGCCGCAGCGCTGCAGCTGTCGGGCGCGGGCGCAGTGGCGCGTCACGGCTCCGCTCCAGGGAGGGGCGGCGGGACGGGGACCGGGCAGGGGCACACGCGGGCAGGCAGGGTGCGGCGGGACGACCGAGCGCCGAGGGGGTCAGCCGCACCGCACCACCGCCGGAGGACATGCAGATTAAACGGCGGTTCAGATGACGATAGCCAGCGCGACTGATCTACGAAAACACAGACCGGCGGGGACAACTAGAGCGGCTCGGAGCCGGCCGTTGGCAGACTATTGAGGGACATAAGCAGCCCAGCGGCAGCCAGCGAGGTGAGTGACGTTGACCGGTGGCCATGCCTCCCCGCCCCTTCTGACCGGCTAGACCCTTGGTCAGGGTCATGCCCCTTGGTCAGGGTCTGCCGGGGCATGCGGTCCCGCGCGGATCGTACTTACCCGGAGACTCTGCGCCTCAATGATCTGCACCAGACAGTCCCAGCGGTCTTTGACGTCTTCCAGGCGCTGGGTGATGTCCTCCTGGGCCGGGGAGTCCGACTCCAGACAGGCCAGCACCTGGGTGGAGAGGTCCTGGAGCACGGCGAACCGGCTGTGCCACTCCTCCATCTGGGACTGCAGCTCCTGAAGACGAGCAGCGCCGCACCGGGCGGGTACACTGTCAGCTCGAGTACACATGGCCAGATCGAGTACACCTCAGCGGCTGTGACGATCGGACACCTAGACCTGGATCGACCGAGATCCGAGCCAACACTTCAATATTGAAGCAACGGGTCCGGGGAGCTACCCCAACTAGCCGCGACTGTTGACCCACCTGCAGCTGGTTGCCCTGCTGCTGGAGCGCCTGCTGCTCAGTGGTCGGCTCGGCCTCCATGGCCTTAAGGCGCGCCTCCTGGCCGTCCACCCAGTCCTTGAGCTGCGCCAGCTGCTCGTGCAGCTGCGGCCAGTGCCGCTGCAGCTGCGCTATGTGCTGCTCGCGCTGCTCGCTCCAGCTGACGGTGAAGTTCCACCGCTCCGACAGCACAGACAGGTGGTCCTCCAGGTTAGCAAACTCTGACGGCGGGAGGGCGGGATATCGGTCAGCGGCCGTCTGCACAGGCGGCGCAGGTAGGCCTACAGCGGTACCGCAGCAAATCGCACGGCATTACTGACTGGCGGCGCGGTGCCATAACGGCGAGGACTGCCAGGGTTTACAGCGGATCTTGACGCCCCTTCCCCTCCCATCAAAGTTCAGTGGTGTCTTAAAGATAATCACATAATTCACCCGAGTTCGATCATGCCTAAAGACCCAGCTATGTTCCACCCAATCGCCACCGCGCGGTAGCCCTTACCGCTGTCGTCGCCGTCTTCCTCCACCACGAGCACGTCGAACAGTTCGGTGACGTGTGGCTTCCAGCGGCCCACCTCCGCGGCCAGGGCTGCGTGCTCGGCCGCCTGCGCCGGCAGAGTGGACAGGTCGGGGCCCAGCGGAGCCGTCAGCGAGATCCGGTTCTCCATGCCCGTCAGCCAGGAGCGCAGCGCGTCCATGGCCGAGAGCTGCACCTGGGCCAGACGCGACTGCAGTCTGGGGGACACAGAGAAATACAGTCAGAGCTGCACCTGGGTCAGACGGGACTGCAGTCTGGGGAACACAGAGAAATACAGTTAGAGCTGCACCTGGGCCTGACGGGACTGCAGTCTGGGGAAAACAGAGACAGATACAGTCAGAGCTGCACCTGGGCCAGCCGGGACTGCAGTCTGGGGAACACAGAGAAATACAGTTAGAGCTGCACCTGGGCCAGACGGGACTGCAGTCTGGGGGAACAGCGACGGATAAGGTCAAAGAACTGCAACAAAGTGCGAAACAATCGAGAACCATAAAAACCATCAACTTATTAGCAATTTCTAAACTTTGTAACCTAAGAAACTGCAAGCAAAAAACACACAAAGCCAAGCACTCGGCATCGGCTCGGCGGAGGGCGACTCACTGTGTCTGCGTCTCGATGGCGCGCTGCCGCAGCTCCTCCCAGCGCAGGGTCAGCAGCCGCATCTGCTCTCGGATCTCGGCCTCCTCCTCGGCCGTCACCTTCTCCGTCAGCAGCCGCTTCCCCTCGTCCAGCACCTCGAATATGTCCGCCTTGCGCTCCGTCAGCTCCACCATGTAGGCCTGCGGGAGCGGGACGGCGGCACAACCGGTCAACACTGGGTTTAGGGCCAGCTGCAGGTCAATCACCAGGTAGGTCTACCCGTCTACGGGTGGTGCAGCCGGTCAAGTTACTATCATGGCTGGTCATTGGTTCATTGGTCATAGTCATAGCTCATAGGCTCGACGTTGAGGGTCTGCGGGCCGGCGGCACAGCCGGTTAACGAACACTGCTTACAAAGCCACAGATCCACCAAGGACCACTGGAAACACGGGCTGAGTAACAAGAATCGTAACAGCATTGTAAGCGGCCGTCAGGTGGCATAGTGACTGGAATCCCCCACCCGCCTCGGTCATCACACCTGTGACCTGGCTAACTGCAGCGCTGAGCTGATCCCATCCCTGACTACATCCCCAGCCCTCCCAATTACTACCCCGTGTCCACACCTCATGCGCTTTGAAGCGGCTCTTGACGTGTGCCAGGCTGTCAGAGTCTCCGTCGGGCGCCTCGAGCCGCGCGCCGGCATCGGCCAGCCAGCCGAGCACCTCCTCCAGGATGGTCGAGTACGTGTTGATGTCCACACCGGAGCCGGACGAGAGGAACGACGAGGGTCGCGCTGGCCGCGCTGCCTCCGCCTGCCGGACGAGCACGGCACATCAGTAAGTACGAATGATCGGTCCCGTATCACACGTGAGTAAATGAGAGAATATCTATAGATCGACATTCAAAGAGGACGGTCTGGTAAGAAAATAACGATAACAGGCCCTGCCCCTGGAGCAGTGGCCGGCTCCGGTGACGGCAAGTCGGCCTCTGTGGACTGGGTCGCCACCGGATGCTGGGTTACGGAGTGCCACCAGCCCGGTCCGCTGGCAGGCGCTGTGACAGGGGAGCGCGGCCATACCAATTGCCGACAGTTGGTCACAGGGCCGGTAGCCAGCCGGGAATAACCAGCGGTAGGCAGGGTCCGAGCCGGCTGAGTGTGGACCCAACGGCCTTCACCATAGTCAAACTACGGACCAATATGGCACCCAACACAGATTGCGGGGCCTAGCGGACACCCTCCACAGTCGCACTGACCACAGGCAAACATTCACTATAGCCTGACTGAGTGAGGACGCAGCGGCCACTTACCATTGTCGGAACGAGGACCCAGCGGTCACGACTGTTGCTTTGTCGCGATCCTGTCCGCTGCACGGCCGTTGGCTCGCGCAATCACCATTCACAGCCCACAGCTCACCGCTAGTGACTCGCAATTCACAATCACAGATTGTTACACAGCCCCACAGATCTCAGTGCATAGTTTATAACTCTACACCCACAGTGTAAAGATCACAGTTCACGACTCAGAACTCAGACTCACAGTCCAGTCACAGACTACTGCTCACAGTGCACTCCTCACAGTTAATATCCCACAGTGCCACATCCCAAACGAAGCCAGCACACCGTCACGGTCCCACCGACCACCGGGCACTGGGCACCGGGCACGGTACGAATTCTGCCGGCGCCACTGCCACCGAGCTGGGGTGACAACGCCCGCACAGCTGCTGCAGCCCCCCCCCGCCCCCCGGTCCCCTCCCCAGCGCACCTGTCTGCGGGGCAGCGGCGGGGCATAGCTCGGGTCGGCGAACTGCATGTCGACGGTATCGTGCGGCAGGACTTGGAACAGACACATGACGTACGTCATGATCGACTTCTTGTCCGGGTAGGTGGTGTTGACGTCTGTGGACAGACGGGGTGGGGTCAGCCCAGTTTGTGGACAGAGGGGTGCAGGTCAGCCGGAAACGCACGGACCATCCCGGCCTGCCGGGAGCGCGTCCCGTTAACGACGCACTGCCTGTCAGCTACGGACCCCTCCCACGCATCAGGTCACTCCCATTCACAGTCCTACACCAGATCGTGCGCTCGAATTATTCCACCATCACCTGCACGGGACTTTCAATAACTGTGAGTAAAAAAGCAGCTGCACAACAGACGCTTCACTATTAAATACTCATTACCCAGCCTGTCCTATATCGGCGTTACAGCTCCTGACCAGCCCCTGCCTGCCCTGCCCGGGCCGGCCGCCTACCTTCCGGGTCGAGCAGGCGATCGATGTTGAGGTACTTGTGCGCCAGTTTGAAGGCATACTCGAGCCGCTGCGCCGGCGGCTTGTGCAGCTGCGTGTCGTAATCGAACAGCTCCGGCTCGAACTTGTGGATGAGTGCGTTGAAGGCCAGTCCGTCCGTCCAGCTGGTGGTGAAGTTGCGGATGTCCACGCCCTCGTAACCCTGGCGGAGACCGACAACAGATGGTTGGTCGGTTATCAGTGTGCTGGACTGATGTGGCGGGGCCGGACGGTGCAAAGAGCACACACGAGCTGATAAGCATGAGGCCAGTACACATGGGGTGGGATGGTACGCATATTATGGGGTCAGTCCAGCGGAGCCGGATGCATTGGAAATGGAAGCCTGCGCAGGGTAAGGAAGAGCACCCACAGTCGGGCCAAAGGGTGCTTGGCATACACTTCAGTTCACAAAGCTGCTACAATGGGACCGTACAGTATTGTGAACGGCTCTGAATAGCGTAGCAGAAAAGCGATGAGAGCATGTGGTTGCATTAATAATTTTATAATTTATAATTTTGGCCTGACTGACCAAACCAAAACAAAGCAATACAATAAAAACGGCTCCACGTCTGCCAGAATGATAAGACCTACTGACAATGTCACTGACAATGGCAGCGATCAAAACTGATCAACGAGTCCCTGTTGACACTGACGCACGTTAACTGCTGCTGCTGTCACTGTTGGCTGACACTGTCACCGCTAACGTCTGACACTGACACACTGCCACAGCTGCCACTGTCCCTGCCACTCCCATCAGAGGGCGACAACGGACCCGGGGCCGGGGACGTACCTGGGTCATCTGGCGACACCAGGCCAGCAGCGTCTTCTCCAGGTTCGTCTGCTTGGCCTCCTTCATAATGCCCTTCAGCACGTCCTGCACCTGTGGACAGCGAGGTAGAGCTCGTGTCACGCCGCTCCAGCCCGTACCGAACTGCGCCCGGCGCCCAGCGGCACGGCACAGACCGCAGTTACCCCCTCCCCTCCCCCCCCCCCGCTATTGTCTCGGATGGCCACCCCATGGGGAGGGGCGCCAGGCGCCGGGGACGCACCAGTCCAAAGTACAGCGCGGCTCAGGTGTCAGTGGCCGATGTGCAGTGTGGACAAATAGAGTCCTCAGTTCCTCACTCCCTCTCCCCACACACAACACGTCTTCTGAGCCGTTACCAGTTATTATTTCACATTTGGGTACAAACTTTACACCTTTTAAAATGTCAGTGATGCTGAGCGTTAAGAGTATCAATTATCGGCCATGTGTACGCGTAAATTATCCATCAAACAGGGAGAAAGTTCGCTGTAGGGTTGAGCTTCATCAATAGAAATATATGTTCAATGATCACCACATGACCGATAAAACTAAAACTTTCCCTATTTGAATTGTTCGACTCGTCGGTCTCGGTAAGACACATGTGATCCAGTGAATAAATACCAGTCCTATTTATCGGTATCTAGCCCCCTGTGCCCCTGTTGCAGTGTACCAAAATCATATTTTTGCTTGGGTGTCAGAGGGGAAAATTGCTGACCAAAAAAAAGGATGAGAGTGAAAAATTGTCGGTCAGGTAAGGCCCAAAAAGAGTGGGAAAATGATAAAAACATTAATCTATCTACAATTGTGACAGATGTAAAACAACCATTCCCGCAATTGCTCCTTCTCGGTGGAATTGGGAGTGGAAAATTGGGCTTGAAAACTGGAGGTGAGAGTGGAAAATTATTTGCATTTGGATGTCGTTTCCCACACACATCTACAAATTTTGGGACACTGCCCTGTTGCCCCCCAAACTCCAGCCCTGGCTGTGCCCCTGTGAGCTGAAACCGTGCATGCGTCACGGGATACCATGGCAGGCAGATAACATGAAATCCTGTTAAAATATTCAGCATTGTTCATCATAGCAGTCAAACGGCGATGTCGACGCCGGTATTCCAAATGTGAATGTCTGAACTTCTGTGAAACGTATAATTATAACTCCGGTTCGTAATAACATAATTCATGAAGTATTGCATTAAAACGCTCCTAATGAGACTACAAAAAAACGTTGTAATTTAGTATTCAGCGTCACAAACAGCGGCAAATATAACAAATCCCAGCAACTTGCCAAGACCAGACCCCTTCGCGTTCCCTGCTGACCTGCCAGTGAAGGATGATGCTCCAGACCAGGCCCAGCGTCAGCTTCGGGTTGCCGTCCACGATGTCGTTATTGTTGATGTTGACCAGCTTGATTCTGTAGTCCCGTAATATTTGCAGGGCGTTGTTGACGTTGTTGAGGTGGTGCACCCGCATCTTGCCTTTCTCCTTTTTCTGTGAGACGCGGGTGAAACGAGGGATGATAGCTCGTATGTCGTTATACACAGCAGATAATTACAGCCGTATACAAGAAGCACGATTCTGCTAACGATAGCACAGACTTTAACGCCCCGTCATGTAAAATACACCAACTAAAACCTAACCGTCGAAGCCTAACAGCATGAAATGCTACATTTCATAACACCAATGATGATAAACTCGCTCATTCGGGCTGGCTTATGGCAGCTGCCTAAACATATCAAATGATTTAGGGGTGCCGGACCACCGGCATCTGTCAATGTTTGACAGCTGGAGGCGACGACAGAGCCGCCTGGCGACAGTCCCCCGAACTCACGCATGGTTTTTCGGTGAGCACCTCCAGCAGCGCCAGCAGTTTGGAGCCGTCCCGCAGGTCGAAGAACAGATCGGTGACCGGCTCCAGTTTCTTCTGCAGGTAGCGGCGGGGGGGGGACACGGGCACACGGGGCGTCAGCGGCGTGACAAGGGTAGGCGGGCCACGAGGGTAGGTGCTGGGGTAGTGGGTATAACGAGCACAGTATGGGACAGATAACAGATAACACTGGGTAACAGACTGGGGTCACAGTACCAGGGCGACAGTGGCAAGTGGCACACTTAGAGGGCAGCTGGGTACGATACTGACAGTGGCAGAGATGTGAATATAGGGGAATCAATAAAACGCATCCCGGCACAGTCGAGCGACGGCACTCGCCATGCGGCCACAGTATAATTACAGGCAAACCCGCATCAGCTGCCTTCATAGAACTACGATCGAAAGTTATACACCTTACGTCACCAGGCATTGCGAGGGCCATGGACCCGATACAGAACGCAGAGAAATGTTACCACGCCGCAATGTTCAAACATTTAAAAGCAAATACCCTACGAGATTCGCCACGAAGTTGGCACCTGTTGCCCGAATCAAAGGACCAGAAGCGTCTAATCAAAGGTAAAACATGTCCATACAACCAAGTAACATGTACCATGTCATTTCAGTACTTGGATCATTGTTTATCTATTGTCGTAACTCGTAGATTCTCGGGTTCATAGGTACGCGGAATTTATCCTTCTAAAGCCTATAGACCAATTCGCGGTCTACGTCGTCATTGCCAACGTGCCCCACTTCTATGCGTAAGGTCCTACCCCAATCAGGGTACCTGTACCGGCAGGTAATTTGGGAAATGTTTGGACGACTATCGAGCATGGTAGGTAAGAAAATTAACCACCGGAAAATATATAGGTATATATTTACTGCTTGTCACCATCACGTACATCCCTGACTTGGGTGAAATTAATGCATTTCTAATATTACAACCTGATTAAGATTTGCTTGAAAACGCTGTTCAAAGCCACCTGAAGAAATGAAATGCTTTTTTAGGAATAACAACTCATAGAAATGTATGACAAAAATAAAATCGCGAGTAAATATCAGGAACCTACATGCTATTATCTAAGACTTAACATACCTGTTTCAATCTTCGTAAGGATAAGTGTTATGCAACAAATTATTTTCATCTCATATGTACATAATTACGGCATAGTTACAGTGCAACTTAATGCATGAGAAACAATTAATAAACAAATGAACACTGAAATTATGTCAGGCCACACAAAACAAAAGATGAATGATTTTTCAGAGGAAGAGTGGTTAAAATAGGAAGAAAGTAAAAGTATGCATATATTCAAAGCGATCAGATTTCAGTTTTGAAAATCGGCATCCATTGCACATGCACCAATGGGAAAGTCAACAGCCAGAAGTTGACCACACAAATCATTACCCTGTCTGTAAGGCCATTCGGCTTATAAGATGGCAGTCTTGAAGTTCTCTGAAATTATTGGCATAAGTGTTTAATTAGCGACGAAAAGCTGACTACAACATGTGCTTTTATAGCTCGTTCGCCTCATTGAGTTCTTTAATAGTTCGCTCTTCATGTGCGAGCTGTATGGTATTCATCTTTCATTGAAAAAAAAATGTCATTATAACAGTCGGTGCATTAGGATTGGGCGGATGTCCTAGCCAAAGTCACGCTAGACAGAAAAAGTTGCGAAGGTTGCAGCCTTTTACAGCCAGACTTTAACACGCGCACCGACGGGGGTCTGCGCCAGCTTCGTACCGACGGGGGGGGGGCGGATGACCGCCTCCCCCCCCCCCCCGAGATCTCGAGAACGAAGCAAGATAGCGACAAGCGGTAAACGGCATCGGATACGCACGGACAAGGTCTACAATTTTTACAAAGGTCATTTTCAGGTCAGGTCAAAGATGACGTCACAGGGGTCGAAATAGTCAAAATGGCGGCGCTAGATATGGAGAGTTTTTCTCGAATAACTTTCGAATGTCAAGACAGTAACAAACTAAGGGCATCATCGTGATCCTCTCGTCAATCCGCATCGAATGATATATATGTTGACTTTGAAAAGTCAAGGTCAAAGGTTGACCTCAGGTCACGTGACCTCGAAGTCATCATGTATATCATTCGATGCGTCTTGACGAGCTGAACACAATGAGACCATCCGCGCGGCTGTATCTTGTTCCTGTACGGAGTTATTGGCAAAAAAAAAACCTTGGTAACCTTTGATGACGTCACATCACCTTACAGCTGCCCAACAGCAAAACAGACCTCAAGGTAGTGAGAGTTGATCGTATATGAAGCCATGCATGGTATATGGGGCCATTCCGACCCGTTTTAGTGGTAAAAACAGGGAGTTGATTTTTCCCCCATTGACTTATAATTTATTTATTTATTTATTTCACATCATCAGGTATTTCCACACAAAATGGGCTATTCCAATACCCTCGTCATACAATGTAACACCGCACGGTATAAAAAAGTTATAAAAACACACACATCTTCATGAGAACAAAATCGCGGACACTTAAAATAAACTAACTAGTCACGAAAAAAATCACGATGCATCAGCCAACATTTTGCGAATGTGGCGCTTAAAAGAAGTCATGCTAAGGTGGTTCACATGATGATCTATGGCGAATGTGTTATACAATTTGGATGCACGATAGATGAATGTACGTTTTCCATGGTTGTTGCGGGGGCGAGTGGTTGAAATATGATCCGACTGCCGTGTTCTTCGAGAGATTGATTCATGATTAAACAACAGTGCTTCACGCAATCCTATTGGTACGTCCAGCGATAAAATTTTATGAATCATGCATATGTCAAAATAGTCAACTAGCTTTGGAACAGTGAGCCAACCTAAGTCTGAAATGACATCCGAAACATGGTCGTATTTCCGTCGACCGGAAATAACTCGTGCTGCGAAGTTGACTATTTTTTGTAGTTCGGTCAGTACATTTTTGCCACAGCTACCATACACCTGCGCACAGTATCGAATGTGAGAAAATACAAGAGAATCGACGATACGAGGTAGAACAGAAGCCGGTAGAGTATGTTTAACGTGCGAGATTCCAATGAGAATGCCAAAACATTTGTTAACAACATGTTGCACGTGGCGCTCCCATGACAGGTTTGGGTCCATTATCACACCTAAGTTCCTCACGCTCTCGGTAGACATCACCACTTCACCCATGAATGACACTTTTGGAACTTCATCTAACTGGACTAATTGCCGTCTGTCACCGAAAACCATCAGTTCCGTTTTACTAGGATTAACCATCATACCGTTTTGCATAAACCAGTTACTCAAGATACCTAAAACGTCTTCCATAGCACCCTGCATATCCCGAATTTTGTGTCTCGACCCGGTTAGTGCTAGCTGAGTATCATCCGCATACCTGATTAAAGTTACTCGGAAACCGTTCACAGAGGACGGAATGTGACATGCAATGTCATTGCTTAGAATATTAAACAATAAACTTCCTAACGTTGAGCCCTGGAAGCATCCCACCGATATCGGTAAGGGTTCTGATAATTCGTCGCCGATCCTTACCCTCTGAGTATGTCCCTCGAGGTAGCTCTTGAACCACCCTGTCCTGATCTGTAAGAGACTCAATTTTTCAAGAATAGCACTATGATCGACCACATCAAAACACCGACTTAAATCTAAAAGAGCTAGCAATGAAATTTCCGAATTGTCCATACCTTTCAAAATTTCGTCAGTCATTGATAATGGGGAGGTCGCGAAATTGACCTGACCTTAGGTCACCGACATCAAAATTCCGAGATATACAAATTGTAGCTACTAATGACCTAATAGCATCCTGCGACTTTCAAAGGCCTCCGACATCTACTGTAGCTCTGGCACGGTGACAAAGTTGCAAAAAAGTGACTTGAGGTTGGTTCATTCAAAGTGACCTGGTGACCTGAACTTAAAAGTTAGGAGGTTCAAACTTGCACACCATGTGTAAAATTGATGAGAGAATAGTCCTACTAAATTTCGTGGCGCTACGCGCCGCAGTTGTAGCGCCGCGGTTTTCCCGCTATCCGCGAAAAACCTCAGGGGGGGGCGGATATCCGCCCCCCGTCGGTGCGCGTGTAATATTGGTGGACGGCAAAATTTACACCGGAATCTAAGTGACGCACCCACAGAGCCGGAGGCGGCCACGGCCCGTCCAGCTCACCGTACTTCATCTGACCGATAAACGCAGATCACATATCGCTCATCCTTCCCGTCGGCAGCGAACGTCGGGCAGTGCAGCGGCAGCCTCGACCTGGTCTGTAGCGACCTAACTGTGCTTTGTTACTAGTGCTTTCTGTCACATCTGCTGCCAAAAACCAAACCTTTCAAATGTCTTGTGCTCGACTCCTTTAGCTCATTAAGTCTCAGAATAAAAAACTGACAGCTTACATAAAACCACATCTTGGGGGATGAGTGATGATCTAACCAGTAAAGTACATTGCACACATAATAAAACAGATTTATCTTATAAAGACAGGGTACCTATATTAAAAAGGATAATTGCCTACTTTATTGTCAACTAAGGGTGATGAAAAAAGGAGTGCATGAGAAAATAAAAGGTAGGGACATGAGCAAAAGAGTGGGATGGGAGAAAAGGTCCAGCAAGAATGGGTAGAGGTAGAGGCCAGGGTAGCTGGTGCAGTAGTGAGCAAATACAGAGGGTGGAGACATGTAAAGGTAGGCAGTAGGAACAGATGGATTAGGTGGGAATGGTGATAGTGAGCTCAGAAAGCAAACCAAAATCATAATGCCATTTTTATGAAAGAAATAGAAAGCCTTAAAGACTAAGAACCTAGATGTAGTATACTAGGTCTCAAACTTGCATAATTACCTTTGCCAGCTGTGAGTTGATCCATTTGGAAAAGGTTTTCTTCTGTACATCTGATGATGAAGATGATTAGCCAGATGCTCATTATTTAGGATCAAAATTGATAGAATAGTTGTATTACGTTTCACCCACGGGGCTTCTTCGGATACATATAGGTAAATTCAACAAATAGAACACAGAGATGCAGGCCAAGCTCAGACACAAATCATGCGCATGCAATAAATATCGTGAAAGGATTAACAGATATCTTGAGATTTAGACGAATAATAATTTTAAGATCGACCCCTAAGTGCGTACTGCGCGTTATAATTTGTCTTTGTTAATAAATACGTATACCTATTTAACAGTCGACAACACAATACGTACTACGCGAATATGCTCAGTACTAGCATCTCCATCCTCAAAAACTTCTGTACATCCTCCCTTTCATCTGGGAAGAAAAATACACATTGTCACCTCACTTTACATTATCCTTCCAGCCATTGTTGTCCTGGACAATACATAGCAATGCCTTTATCTGAAGCAATAAAAAATGTGGCTGGTAATTATCAATCAAGTTAATCTTGGTGCACATTTTGTCAGCACGAGCTATAAACTATAAATAAAAGTACCTATGAAAATATGCATTTATCATTTAAACTTTGCCAACAGTAGCAGGGGGTGTACAAAAAGTAAGATTTCATGACCAGTAATAACATGAACTCTACTCGGCATGAGGACTTGCTGCACTGCTCACTTATCCAGTATATCAGTTATATTAACTAAGGTATAGGCTAAAGACATGGTCTATAAATATATGTCCGACCCTGCAAGGCGATAAGGTCTGCATGCAACAGAATTGAATATACTTTATTAAAAATTCTGAGCCATAAAATTCAGCAATGATATGCCAGTTGCAGGAAAAAAATCCACACAAACAATTGGTTCATTATAATGCTTCCGCAAGTGCAAAACTAAAAACATTTGCCAATGTCAAATAATTAGGTACCTATGCATTTATTTGTAGGTAGGTACTAATGCCAAAAGTGTACAATTAGCATTTAATCAATACCATGGTCTTGTTCATTTAATGTTTTGTGAGGATGCTCATTTAGATAAGAGTTCATGCAAGGGTGGGTGGTGCTAATGAAGGCTGATATTGTGCCTTAACTATTGACATCATTGATGCTGGTTTGGGGAGGTCAGGTTGAGGACTCTCTGCTCATTGTGCAGGAGTTATCTGACCTTGGTCAAAAGTTTATTGAAATACAACAAAAGGAGACTATTAACGAAAAGCTATGCAACAACCATGCCGGTAAAGCAACAGGTGCGCCAGGAGAGCCAAAACATGCTTTGTTGGCCCTGCGCCAACAGAGGCTGACACTCACCACAGAGAGGCAGCTCCATTTCGGACGGATACCGTTAAAACACATAAATTCAAACCATGCAAACACGACTAGACATGCTTATGAAATAATTGCAAAAATATCACCAAGGGGACGTATCATAAACCCCGACACACGCCCTCCCCTTTGATATCCTCCGTGCTGGGCGTCAATCAAACGAATTTACAGGTAAGACAGACTATATTTGACGTCATTTTTGCGTTATTGCTCCCTACCAGCAAATCAAACATCAGCTCTATGCTTTGATGACGTAATTATGAAACAAGGGACCAATCCACAATCTGCTTTAAAGTGCACATGTTCACTACTGTTGACATCAGCTGATCTCGCGTCAGGTACCCACAATGCAGCAAAAGCAGAGGCGTATTCAGGGGTTCAGGTAGGGTAGGACGGGTAGGACCGTATAGGTTGAGGGGGAGGGGACTTCACTGAAAGTTAATCATTATCATTATATTTATTCGATTTGCACCTCGAAACTGGGCACTGGTACGCGTTTCATTTGCGATTTGGTCATAATTTAGTCTGCAACTCCTTACTCCCAGTTCCCACTCCCACACTTCCCACCTAGCTCAAGCTGGATCGTCTGGACTGAGAAACAGCCACAATTCCCGCACCCATTGGATTAGCATAGGCAGTCCCCGCTTCCCGGGCCGGTGCCCGCGTGACTGGTAAAAACAATCGTGAGTCCCACGTGACGAACAGCTCCCTTTCCCCCGTAGGCCCACTGACCGGTGGTCCCCGTGGGTCCAGGATCCCGGGTCAGTACTTTACCCCGGCACTGACAGTCGACAGGCCCCCATCCCCCCCCCCGTGCTCAGTGAGTCGGGTTCAGTGAAGGGTCAACCAGCAGCAGCTGGCGGATGTGAGTCGATCGGCAGTGCCAGTTGCGCTCGTTTCCCGTCAGTGCAGTGGTGCAGCGCGGCGGCCAAGTGGCCCCACCCGGCGCCGATCCGTTCCGCCGGTACGCCAACGGCGCGGTCTGTCGGCGCCCCTTTGGTCTGTCTGCCACTCGCTGATCGAGGGACGCGTCTCAGCCTCTTCACCCGTCACCTGACCTGGCAGGCGCGGAATGAAAATAGGGGCCGGCGGTGGATGGTGACGAGTGACGACGCCCTGGCATTGTACGGATTAGCGAATGTAGTGTTCCTGTCTGGCGCTGATATCAGATGTCTTCTTATCAGAAGAGAGGGAGAGAGAGAGATAGAGAGGGGAAGAGAGAGGGTGGATAGAGTAGGGAGAGAGAAAGAGAGAAGAGGGGAGAGAGACAGACAGACAGACAGACAGACACAGAGAGCTGGGTACCGGAGGCTGGGTGCGGTGACAGGGGCGGCTCGGTGACAGAGCAGTACTGATGACCGCCGGACTGCCCGCTCGCTCTGTTATCGTTGGAGCGCCGGCGGCGACGACAGGGCCGTGTTTCACCGACGCGTCGTTTGCCTACCAGCTGGACTGCGAGCGAGCCGGGCGCCGGCGGGCGGACGGACGGGACTGCACGGCCCGTGCACCAGCCCGTGCACCGCGTGCCAGCAGCCGGGCGCACCGCTCCGACCTGCACCAAACCACGACTGCTCCATTCTACCAGCCCTCGCCGCTCCAACTCACACCACTTTGTCCCACCAGCCCATAGGGTAAGGTGCCTAATTAGCGACCCCCTTAATTTGAACCGTCATTGCTCACGCTCTGTGGGTGCCACTGTATTACTGGCTTGATTTTCGGAGAGATCGTTCATTTTTCTATTAAAATATAGTCATTTTCTGCCCCAATATTCACTAACTTATTTGTAGTGAGCATTTTGGCAAACCATTGCAAAAAACGCTAATAGGGAACTCTTCCCGATTAGCGACCGGGGAGGGTCGCTAATAAGTCTATGGGTTTCCCCATATTAAAAATGGCAAAAAAATGCGACGCCTGAAAAGATGAAATATGATCTAAAAAAGGTAACCTATACGCAAAGCACTCAATCACTCGAACAGGAACGTTTATCCAACACATTTCCGGAAGTAAAAACTGATCACGTGATGCACCGAAAGGCGAAAAGAAGGCGGAAACCCAAATTTTGCGGGCTATCTCGTATGATATTCGAGGTCCGCGCTGAATTCGCACCCCTGCAGTCGGTGACGACCAGGGATGCGGAGCCGGAGCCGGAGTCGGAGCCGGAGCCGCCGGAGCCGGCATATTTTGCCCGGAGCCGGAGCCGGAGCCGGAGCCGTGAAACAATATAGACCGGAGCCGGAGCCGGAGCCGGAGCCGCCAAAAAAGGGGGCGACTCCGGCTCCTTTTTATTTTTTGAAGAAGAAAAAAAATAATTGACCTAGTTCGGTTTGACAGTACAAGGCAGTGAAACATATCGTATGTACTTTCGTCATGGGCCATCAAGTGAATGAAAAAAGCCGAATATCCCCAGTATCCCACAGTACGCAATCAACTTCCTGTCTGCTCCTCCCCCCCCCCCCCACGTCTACTGCATCCCCAGAACATGAGGACCGGTCATCAGGTGACGGCCATTGTTTTCAAGCCAGTGCAGTGGACTGCGACTCCCAGCACCGTCTCTGCCGAGACGGGTGTCAGCTTACGATGGTTCAGTGAACTCCGATTCGCGGCGACTGCGTTTCCAATGCCATCGCTTCCTAGTCCTTTGTTCTGCCAGTTCTCTCCGAGGTGCGTTTGCGCGAGGACGCGGTCATGATCCGGCCATGGCAAAGAGTAACGCGTATAACCAATCCAATGTTTCTTCCACCCGTATTTAATTGATTGCATAGGGGATGTACTGAGTCGGAGCCGCCGGAGCCGGAGCATTTTACTCGGAGCCGGAGCCGGAGCCGGAGCCGCCATAACATTTCACCCGGAGCCGGAGCCGGAGCCGGAGCCGATTTTTTTCTCCGGAGCCGGAGCCGGAGCCGGAGCCGTCTGAAATTTCCACGGCTCCGCATCCCTGGTGACGACATTTGGCATCCCCTTCCACACATTGCAAGCTTCAGCTACACCTCATTTTCATTTCTCTCTTTTCCCCTTTCTTTCCCTTCTTGAGCTATTTGCGACCATGTCAGGCGCAAATAGGAAATACTAGGGTTACCCGCGTGCTCCGCAACGCGAAGGGGGGATTTTTTTGACCCGTGGGTATTGGGTTGGTCTGTGTCGATTTGGTTGGTAGATATCCATTTCGTTCGATTGCTTTTTGACGGCCAAGCATTTTGTAAGAAAACAAAAAGATACATCGCATCGAGGTGCCCGTGTCATGCGTGTCATGCGTTATCATGCGTTCTACTTTAGAATGATTCGAAAACTGTCGTGAAATCTTTTGAGGGCCATCGATGAATTTCGCTAAAAATGGCAATGTAATGGTTTGGAACATTTACATTTTTAAGGATACTGTTAATAATCATGCAAAAATGAAAAGTGAATATTGGACAGAATTGAATGCTCTATCCAATGGTACCATATTCAATTGCCAAAGGTATCAGGTTATGCAGCAAACCCCGTGTGATTAATAAAGTGGCACAAAATTGACAAACACCATTTTCTCCTGTGATTTGCACCACCTTGATTTAGATTAATCAGCTTTTCACAATTTTTATATGAGAGGCGGTACCTTTCTCTTGCAAATTGGCGTTGATTCAACTCGCTCCATTTACCGGTCACCTAAAGCTAAAATTAATTCAAAAATCCCTCAAAAACCGCAATTTTTCAAATAAAAGTGCCGTCTCCGATGCACGTGGCGCGTGCTATCCTCTGCATTGCACACCATTCAATAGCCCGTTCAATTCTGTACACGATGCTGTTTTCCCCGTGCCGGTCGGACCCCTGGTCACCAAGATATTGCACGTGAACTGGACCCGTGTCGGCCAAAATTAGCCGTTTTCGCCCGATTTCGCACGCCGATTTATACATGTAAAGTCTATGACGCGAATTTGCACTTTTTGAGCACGCGCCACGCGCTCCCTATCAATCCGATCGAGCTGAGACCCCTCAAAGGCACGTCGCGCATCCTTGATCTATAAGTTGTGCAAATTTCACCGGGCTAGGTGCAACGGTCTGGCCTGTAGTC